AAATCCTGTTTTTCATGAACGCACCAAACATATCGAAGTTGATTACCATTCAATACATGATGCCTACGACGATCGAATAATATCACTTCCTCACGTCAATACTCAGTTGCAGGTTGCAGATATTCTTACCAAGATTGTTCCACGCCCAAGACATCAGTTTCTTGTTAGCAAATTGATGCTCCTTGACCAGCCGCATCAATTTGAGGGGGGGGGGGGTGTTAATCAGGAAATAATCTTTGCAATTATTGTGAATAATTTACATTCATAGAATAGGAAATTAGTCATTATGAATTGTAATTAGTTATTATGAGTTGTAATTAGTTATTATGAGTTGTAATTACTGACACTATTATATATAGTATGAAAGGCAATAAGAAAGGCAGGAAGCCAAATTTCATGACAGTAATGACGGGTGTAAGTTAAGATGTTATCTAATTGAATATGTGTTGCAGAATAGATGAGTTTGATGTTTAGTAACATCATAAGCTTTGAAAATGTGTTTCTACATGTCTTATTTTATAATATTAAACACAAGGTTTTAGAGTGTTACATGAAACTCCAGTGTTGGCTTTACCTAAATTTAAGGAGTGATTTATCATTGAGATTGATGTTTCAAAATCAGAAATGAGCGCGGTCTTTAGCCAAAATAAACATCCAATATGTTATTATAGCAAATAATTTTGTCCCCGAGTGCTAGCAACATCGACCTATGTATGAGAATTGTGTACCATTACATCTGCTGTGAAGAAGTGGAAAATGTATATGCTGGAAGGAATGTTCATGATTTTCACTGACCAGAGAAGTTTACTTAAGCTCATGGAACAAGTAATTTAAATCTCAGAATAATAGTTCCACTAATCTCATGTCTAGCTCTGCCTATACCCTACATGGAGTTCATTGACAAGTTTAAAGAAAAAACTATGCAATATTAGAAGTTCCAACAACATAGTAAGATATTTCATTAGACTTCATTATAGGCCTCCCTTCATTCTAAAATCACATGGTGGTACCCGTGGTCGTGGACAGGCTTTCTAAATCATTTGACTTTGGGTTGTTACCTACTCATTTTACTACATCCAAAATAGTTGTATTGTTTGTGATACTGGTGTGAAAACTACATGGGATGCCTAGAAGCATGGTGTCGAACATAGACCTCATTTTCCCGAGTCATTTTTGGCAAGAGTTATTCCATCTAAGTGGTATCAAGTTATGCATGTCCACTTCTTACCATCCACCAAGTGATGGTTAAACAGAGATTGTTAACACAATGCTTCAATAATACTTAAGGTGCTTTGTGCACAACAAGCCAAAACAATGGGGAATGTATCTTCATTGGGATGCATGGCACTATAACACAGTTGTACATACATTTACAAGGCTTCGCCTATTCAAGTAGTGTATGGAATACCCCCTCCCAATTTGGCAGATTACATAATAGGCATAACATTTGTACATGTTATGGAAGATACTTTAATAACAAGACCAGTAATATTACAATAACTGAAGAGGAAATTGGCTAAGGCATGGGAAACCATGAAAACCTTGTTGATCAGACTTGAACTCTTCATAATTTTGTTGTATGTGACTTAGGTTTTGTCAAACTAAGATCCTATAGACAAAATTCAGTTGCAGACAAAAGAATTCACGAGTTATCGATACTATGGTCCTTTCAAACTGATAAAGATAGACGAAGAAGTGGATCTTCAACTAGAACTACCTACCACGAGCAAAATTAACTTCATGTTCCACGTGTCGCAGCTTAAACCATGTTTCAACAACAATCCACCAATGTTGGAATTACCATAAAAAGCAATGGACAATTACCCTTTGGTCCAACCTTTAGTTGTACTTAACTGGAAAACACATAAAGATAACAACATGTTACAAGTGCTAATACAGTGAGAGGGCTTGTTTTTGGAGGATGCAACTTGGGAAGACTACAAGCACATAGTGGACACTTATCCTAATTTCCACCTTGAGGTAAAGGTGAATTTGGATGACCCCGGAAATGTTATAGAAGATAAGGCCTATGAAAATAGGGAGATCCACGTGAGGAAGAATAAGACATAGTGATTCCTAGACTAAGGGCCAAGAGGAATGCAACTTGACCCAAACACTATAATGTCTACAATAAATGAAATTAACGCTACTTTATAACAATTTTGTTAAGAATTGGACATACGCTTTAATGAATATATGCAATCGCAACCATCGACTAAGCTCAGATCATGACAATTATTTTGGACTGACCAATCAAATGTCCAAATAACTAAGGTGAAATACATTTTAAATTCATACGCTAAAAACAAAGTAAAATTTCGAATCTCAATTTTTTATCACACACATTTGAATCTTGACTGACTTGGGCATTGAAATGCTAATCATGAAGGTCTACCTCGTATCGTCGTAAAGGAGATCGAAGCCACTGTTCAAGATCATCAATTTTTCAATTACATCCATTTTTTGTTCCATAACAAATCAGTGGCGCCGGTATGTGGGAATTGACTTTTGATTTCTATGATTTCCATGAGTTCATGTTGGCTCTCCAACCTCATCGTGCGAACAAAGAAGTTATAGATCTGAATTGTTATGATTTTTTATTTAAATCTCTGACTTATGAGTTCCTAACCATTTTAATTCACCGAATCAAGAGCCTTCAGAGCCGGATACGAGAATCAATAAATGATTACCATTTCAATGGCGATTCATAAATATCTCCAAGTCTCTTATTTTCTTCGGGAATTCTGCAAAGAGGAAAAAAAGATACTAAATTTAAATTTAAATTTGCGTTGAAAGCAAGTTCTTTGAAGATAACACCAAAGATTCACATTCCCGATTCAACGTCACTATTGTCTCCATCCGCTGACATGATATAACTGCAACTATTTGTATTAATTTCCTAAGAATGGATGTAATGGAAATTTTTAACCTTGAGAAGATAAATATTTATCAAACACAAGTCTCGGTGAAGTTTTACCATGATATACACATTTATTATACACTTCTAGTTGAATTATTTTATTTGCAACATCATCTTTGAAGATGTTATTTCATAAAGATGATGTTATTTCAAAATGTTAATTTTTAGGATGTCAGGCACTACTCCTATCTAATTTATAAGCAAAAGACAACATTTATTTTTATTTAAGTTTATACACAATTTTCAAGATAATGTTTCTTAATTTAGTTCTTAACATGTGTCCCAAGAGCACAATTAAATGTATTTGGCTTTCTTGATGAAAGGGAGAGAGAGCACAATTAAAACATTTAGTTTTTTATTTGATGAAAAAGAGATAACACAATTACTAATACTCCCTCAATTAAATTCTCATTCACTAACAATATTAAATAATTAATGTATGAATAATTTTAAAATAAAAACATTAAATGTACATAGATTTGTTGATATTTATTATTTAAAATCAAAAAAATTTAAAAGATTTTTCATTGTAAATAAGATCAGAAGAAATATTTATCATTGACAAACTCGCAACTCCAAATTGAAAAGAGTCGTGATTGGCATGGATTGCAACTACCGCACTTTTTTTTCGGATTTGGATCCTCTCTTTTTTTATATATCATGTCATCTCTTATGTTTCTAATCTAACGGTTCAAAATTTATAATGAATAATTAAATAAAAAAAGTCATTTAATAGCAGAGAGAAATGGATAAGTAATTTGTCTTTGTTCCTTCACAAAATTAACAACCATAAATAATTTTTTTTATTTAATTATTCATTATAAATTCTGAATCGTTAAATTAGAAACATAAGAGATAGCATAATATATAAAAAAGGAGAGGATCCAAATTATTTTTTTTTCAATCATATCCTCTCAATAGATTAGATATATTCATTATTAAAAAAATCTAAAATATAAATTGTTACCAAATTGAGTATTAGTGTTTTATCATGTTGTGTAAAAAAAAGAAACATCATTTTGTTTACCTTTAAACGGCAAAGGAAAGGTTCAAATTTAGATAGATCAGATATATTCATTATTAAAAAAATCTAAAATATAAATTGTGACCAAATTGAGTATTAGCGTGTTAACATGTCATGTTGTGTAAAAACAAGAAACATGTCATTTTGCTTACCTTTAAACGGCAAAGGAAAGGTTCAAATTTAGATACACACTTTATATGCAGAGTATCATGTATGAAGTGTTACAAAGATAAAAGGACATAATTCAATATAAACTTAGGTAAATAAATTTGTTGGCCCTAAATATAAGCAAATGTCAACAAACCTAAATACACTCAAGGATAGTTTTTGAAACAATGAATTTAGTAGTATTAGTATAGCCATCCTACAAGAATTTTCTCAATAGTTGCAACCACAAATGGAAATGGGATTCAAATTCTCAGTTTATTTCTCACCAGATCTTGTAATTCAGTAATAATTCGACGTAATGGTATTGCAATGTCAGTCCAAAACCAAACCTGTATTTTACATAACTTTGACCATAGCAAGTAGCAAGAACTGTTGGTATATTTAATTAAAAACAACACGAGAAAGCCCTGACTTAAGTTACTTCTTTTTCTTAAAAAAAACCTGGATTCAACGTCAGACTCATACTACATTCATACTGACTGTAATTGGGTACAACAAAATTGGCAATACAGGGGAATGTGAATCTGCTCACTTGGATCATTTTAATAGGTTTTCTCCACTCCTTTCGCTGTTTCTGTCTATATAATACCTGGTTGTTCAACCACCACGCATATTTAAGTAACCTTCGCACCTGTTTTTCCCAATTTATGGTTTTCCATGTTTGGAGCCAAATTTGCGGTGCTTGAGTTGAAACAACTTCAGGTAGACTAATTGTGGACACGTGCTTGATGGAGCTGAGACAGTTAACCATAATTTACGGCACAATAGCAAGAGTAGACTGGGGAAATTTCTCGGTGATTCTAGGCTAGTCTACAAAAAAAATATACAATCCCAGCCGAGAAGATGAAGGGGGACAAAAAACCTAAGCTTTGCATAAGCTTAATAGGCTTATCTGGATGTTGTGTATTTTTCACATGCTAAGCTGAGCTTTTCCAGACACAATTCTTTGGTGACTAATTGAAGTAGTACTTGCACCAGCTCCCGTATTCTTAATTCTCTGTCCATCAAAAGAACAAATTTAGAAACCATAAAGCAAGAAGAAAGGAGTAGATGATTAAAAAAATTTACTGCTAAGATTATGTATAGTTGTTTGGATTGGAAAATTTAATAGGATAAAAACAAAAAACGAAATGCCCGTAGACCGAAGTATGAATCGTCTCTTGACATATGTGATGTTGTCAGAGTTCATAATTCAGAAGGTATTTATTTTTGCACATCGTCAAGTGGCCTAGCATCTTCAGACTGCTACTACCTTGTTGTGAAAGTTGAGATTTCTCCACTACCTTAGAATATTTTAATCATGACGGATTGACTCCTGTGGACAAATTTCTATTTTTGCATCCCTATAGCCAGCCTAAGACATCCCCTCAGGGGGTTTTTATATCAGTGGGGCACGGATTTTTTAGTTGGTGCATGCTTTTTCTTGCTTTATAATTACTAATTTATTGTCTGTCGTTTATTGTTCCCTTTTTAAAAAAGGAGAGAATAATAAAACTTAGAAGTACGAGGGTTAAGAAAATAGAACATTAAGAAATACTATGAAACCCAGTCCAGTAACATCTACTCATGAAAGAATTATGCAGGTGGGCATGCCAAATATTAAGCATAGCCACTTACATTTACGAGTTAAATATATTTTTTATCACAAAAATAAAAAACGTATTGATTTTAATCCCTATTTAAAATTTTTACGTTTTAGTCCCTAAAGATGCAAGAATTACTTGCTTTAGTCCACATGAGGGACTAGTAATGAACTGAAGATATTGTACATTTTTTTGTAAAATAGGACTAAAAATATGCAGTTTTTTATCGAAACTAAAATCAACAACTATTACTTTAGGACAACCAGAAACACAGTTCACCCAATTTATATTTACTTTACCTTGATGTAACAAGCTCACAAAAGGAAGGTAATAACACAAACAGATGGGAACGGCTCCCGTGCTTCTCCTTGTCCTCTACTAGGTCAGTTCTCATACATGGGTGTAAGGGGAGGATGGATGCTACATCTGGATGAATTAGAAGACCTGCCAGTTCTTGGAGGACATAATTAATTTCTTCAAGTCTTGCTTTAGGTAATGGATACTCTCCTGCAGGAAAAAAGAAAATAATTAAGTAGGTACAAAATGGGAGATGAAATAAAGATTTCTACACTCTTCCATCAAAGAAGCTCACCCAAGCCTTTTTCATCTGTCAGAAACCTGCTCAAGATGTATTCACATCTGTTCATAAGCACCATAATTGAGATTTTGCTGACTTCAGATCTCGTCATATTCCAATTGATTTCATTAGAATAACTGACAAAGTTATATAAAAAATGGTCAAATTTTCTGACAGAAAATGGTCAGCGTTACTAAGATAATATATTATATAGTGAAAACCGAAAACTAAAAGGTGAAGAGCAAGAGAGAGAGAGAAGGAAACAAGGACTTCATCTCAAAGCTGGTTAAAACCAGAGTAAAAAAACAAAAACTAGAGAGAAAATCTGCAATGGACGGTAGTCAGATTTTTAGCCAATGTGAGTTAATCAAAGTTCGTTAATAGAATGAGGCCTCTATTATGGTCTCCAATGGAGTTACTAAAATGTACCGAGAGGAATATGAATAAAATATACAAAAATTGGATTTAGAAGATTTCTTTTCAGATGAAAGTACATAAATAAAGGTGCATTAGAAATTAATTTCCAGACCAAACAGGAAACTGGTATACAATGCACACAAACATTAGATTGCAGAAGCATCCAATACCATGTCATTGACACTATCTCATATAAGATAATTTAGTGCTTCCCCAGGTTAATTGCAATCAAGTAAAACATGCCAAAAGATCAGATATTAGAAACTAAACATTTATTAATGTTGGAAAATATTTTATTTCTATATTTAGTTGTTTACGTTTATTGTCATTTATTTTCTTTTATTCTTCATTAAGGAGAAAATTAAATATTTTTATTGTATTCTCATTATATAAACCAGCATTTGACTGAGGAATAAAATTACAACAGTTTTTATCTATTTCTTCCAATATGGTATCGAGAGCTTTGGGTTAGGGTTACCGTAAAGCTTTCTACAACTAATGTTCGACACGCTTTTTTACCCGATCCGATTCACATACCCGTTTAACCTCTTATGGCGAATAACAACGGCGGTGGCCGCAGCAATGGAGGTGGCTGCGGAAACGGTGGCGGTCGCATAGATGGCGAACGAGAGGAACCGTTAGTGGTCACAAACAGTGACAATAATGACGGCAATAATGAAGACATTAACATTGTTTTTGCCAGTAATAACGGCAACAATGAAAACAGGAACATTGTCTTTGGTGATAGTTATTCCAACATAGGCGGTAATGATCAAGAGGGTTCCTACTCCCTCAAGGTCAATATCCCTAAACTGAATGGGAATAACTATAATGAATGGGCTCAAACCGTTCAGTTGGTGTTGGATAGCAAAGGGAAATTTGGTTTCTTAACAGGAGCAATAGCTGAACCGGCATCAAGAGATCCTCGTTACAAACAATAGAAATCTGAAAACTCTTTGATTATTGGGTGGCTGGTAAGCTCCATGGAAACTGGAATAGGTAAGTCTTACATGTTTTTACCTTCCGCAAGGGATGTGTGGGAAGCTGTTAAGGAAACATTCTCTAATATTCAAAACTCCTCCCAAATGTTTGGATTAAAATCAAAGTTATGGCATGCGAAACAAGGTGACAGGAGTGTAACCGTTTATTACAATGAGCTGTTGACACTGTGACAAGACTTAGATCTTTATTATGATGACAATTGGAGGTGTACAGAAGACAGTGTTTTGTTTCTCAAGAGGCAAGAAAATGATTGTGTATTCATGTTTCTCGTTGGACTCAATAAAGACCTTGATGAGGTAAGAGGTAGAGTTTTAGAAAAAATACCATTGCCAACTCTTTGTGACACTTTTGCAGAAATAAGAAGGGAGGAGGCACGACAAGGAATTATGATGGGCAAGACACCACAAAGCTCTGAATCTGAAGGTTCAACTATAGCTACTAGGAACCTTGACGAGAGAAGAAGGTCAGATAAAGTTCCTTGGTGTGATCACTGCAAGCGCGAATGACATACACATGAAACATGTTGGAAGCTCAAAGGCAAACCTCCAACCTGGAAGAAGAAAGGTGGTCGTGCATTTCAGGCTAGTAATTCTGATCAAGGGCAGCAACCCCCTACAACTCAACTTCCATTTACTACGGAACAACTAGACAGACTGTACAAACTTCCAGGTCTCCAACCCCTTCTTGCTCTATAGCAACAAAAGGTAATTTTGCACTTCTTAGTGTCAGTCCCAATCATACTTGGATAGTAGATTTAGGTGCCTCTGATCACATGACGGGTGAATCTACTTTGTTCTCTTCATATAGTCCATGTGCAGGTAATCAAACAATAAAAATTGCAGATGGCACTTTTTCAGCCATTGCAAGTAAAGGGTCAGTTGTGTTGTCTCTAATATTAACTCTTAAAAATGTCCTTCATGTTCCAAACTTATCGTGTAATTTCATGTCTGTCAGTAAACTAGCCCAAGATATAAATTGTCAAACTAATTTTTTCCGATCTCACGGTGTCTTTCAGAATTTGAACTCGGAGAAGATGATTGGCAGTGCTAAGGAGAGTGGAGGACTCTACTACCTTGACATTGGATCTGCATCACAACTACCTTTAACAATAAGTTCCTGCTTTGAGTCTTTTTCCATTTTGAATAATAAAGAAGACAACATTATGATATGGCATTTAAGATTAGATCATCCTAATTTTCGTTATTTAAAACACTTGTTTCCTAAGTTATTTAACAATAAGAATTTTTCTTCGTTTAAATGTGAAGCATGTAAGTTTGCAAAGCATCATCGTTCCAACTTTTCATTACAGCCTTATAAACCATCAAAACCGTTTTCTATTATTTACAGTGTTGTTTGGGGCCCTAACCGTACTAGTACACTCTCTCAAAAAAAATGGTTTATCACATTTATAGATGACCATACAAGAGTATGTTAAGTGTACTTGTTAAAGGGGAAAATAGATGTTTGCCAGACTGTAAAGAATTTTTTTTCAATGGTGCAGAACTAATTTCGAACAAATATCGAAGTTTTTAGAAGTGATAATGGCAAAGAATATTTTAACACTATCCTGGATGATTTTTTTCTAAAAAATGGGACTGTACATCAAAGTTCATGTCCTAATACTCCTCAACAAAATGGAGTGGCCGAAAGGAAAAATAGACATTTATTGGAGGTTGCTAGAGCTCTACTTTTTTCGAATAAAGTACCAAATTATTTGTGGGGCGAAGCTGTTTTAACAGCTGCGTATTTAATTAACATAATGTCTTCCGAAATTCTCAATTTTCAAACTCCAATTAATGTCTTCAAAGAATGTTTTCCTAGTACTCGTATTTTAACTGATTTGACTTTAAAAATCTTTGATTGCACAGCTTTTGTTCATTAACATAAAAATGTTGGAAAACTTGAGCCACGTGCTATAAAATGTGTCTTTGTTGGATACTCCTCAACCCAAAAAGGATATAAATGTTTTGATCCAAAAAACAAGAAAATGTTTGTTACTATGGATGTTACATTTATTCAAAATAAACCTTTCTTTGATGACACTCATCTTCAAGGGGGGAGATAAAGGAAGACTCGTTTCAAATTGAGGACTTAATTTTTTTGAAAAATTTATCTTTGCCTATACAACAAAATTCTGAGACTTCTACATCTGCACCAACAGAAAATGGTCATGATTCTGTATCTGATCCTACTCCTATTATGAGTAAGGAGCCTTGTGAATCCGAGCCTACATTTTCTCTTGTAGAAAACAATGAGAATCCTGAAAACGATGATAATAATGATCTAATTGAAATGCCACAAAATAATGAGTCACTTTAAGAAAACAGATTCGAATTAGGAAACAAGATTTGGAAAGGGAAGGTTTTTATGAAAAAACACCATAAACGAAGGGACGAGTCCACATCTCAACACTGCCAGGAATCTGAATTGGAGAATGATCAACCTCCTAACAAAAGGAAAGGTAAGTCTATCTCTGTTTCTGAGAGTCGTATTTTGTATCCTGATATAGATGATCTTGTTGCCATTAGAAAACCTGTCAGATCTTGCACTAAACATCCCATGTCCAATTTTATTTCATATTCAAATTTGTCTTCATCTATGTCTGCCTTCACCTCAAAATTGTCTAGTGTAGAAATTCCAAATAGTGTACAGATTGCTCTAGAAATTCCAAAGTGGAGGGAAGTTGTACTTGAGGAGATGAAAACTCTTGAAAAGAACAAAACTTGGAGTGTTACGTTGCTACCAGATGGCAAGAAGACAGTTGGACGCAAAAGGGTGTTTACTGTGAAGTATAATTCAGATGGGTCAATTGAAAAGTATAAGGCTCGCTTGGTGGCTAAAGGCTTCACTCAGACCTATGGTATAGACTACTCAGAGACATTTGCTCATGTTGCAAATTGAACACTAAAAGAATTCTTTTATCTCTTGCTGCTAACCTGGATTGGCCCCTACATCAGTTAATTGTTAAGAATGCATTTCTTAATAGTGATCTAGAAGAAGAAGTATATATGGACATTCCTCCTGATTTTGAAAACAAATTTGGATCAAATTATGCAAACTAAACAAGTCTTTGTATGGATTAAAGCAGTCTCCCAGAGCTTGGTTTGAAAAATTCACTCAGTCCATGAAGAATCAAGGGTACATTCAAGGACAGGCTGACCACACCTTGTTCACAAAATTCTCCAACGATAGGAAAGTTGTTCAGATTGTTTATGTTGATGATATTGTCCTTACTAGAGACGTTACAGTTGAAATGGCAAGGGTAAAAGAGAAATTTACAGTAGACTTTGAAATCAAGGACTTGGGATTCATGAGATATTTTCTAGGCATAGAGGTTGCTTGATCAAAGAATGGTATTGTGGTTTCACAGCAGAAATACATTCTAGACTTATTGAAAGAAACAGGAAGGAGTGGATGTCGTCCTGCAAATACCCCTATGGATGCTAATGCTAAACTTTAGGGAGAAGGTAATGTTCCTGTTGATACTGGAGAATATCAGAGATTGGTTGGGAAACTGATTTATTTGTCACACACCCGACCTAATATTGCTTTCTCAGTCAGTGTAGTGAGTCAGTTTATGCATTCTCCTTTCAAAGAACATCTTGAGGCAGTCGATAGGATACTGAGATATGTGAAGGAAAATCCTGGAAAATGATTATTTTTTAAGAAGACTAGTGAAAGGAATATGTCTATCTTCACCGATGCTGATTGGGCAGTTTCAGTAACCGATAGAAGATCAACCTCTGGATACTGTACCTATATTTGGGGTAATCTTGTGACATGGAGGAGTAAGAAACAAGGCGTTGTACCAAGGAGTAGTGCAGAAGCTGAGTTTAGAGCTATGTCTCAAGGTATTTGTGAAGGATTATGGATCCTTAGAGTCTTAAAAGAACTTAAGATGAAAGTTGAGCTTCCATTAAAATTGTACTCTGACAGTAAAGCTGCTATTAGCATAGCTCATAATCCAGTTCAACATGACAGAACCAAGCATATTGAGATTGATCGACACTTTATAAAAGAGAAGTTAGATGCTAGAATCATATGTCTACCTGTCAGGAAACTGCGGATATCTTGACCAAAAGTTTGGCAAAACCTACCTTTGAGCATTTGATAGACAAGTTGGGCATGATGGATATCTATGCACCTACTTGAGGGGGGTGTTGGAAAATATCCATATTTAATTGGTTACGTTTATTGTCATTTATTTTCTTTTATTCTCCATTAAGGAGAGAATTAAATATTTTTATTGTATTCTCATTATATAAACCAACTTTTGGCTGAGGAATAAAATTACAACAACTTTTATCTATTTCTTCCAATAATTAATATGAATGGTAAAAGGATGACACCTGCTCAAAGAAAATAACTTCTGCAAACAAGTCAAGGAAAATCTGCTGCAGTGTGGAGGCATCAGCTCTACAGTCTCAACAGGTAAAGAGCATGTGCGTGATGCACAACGGTCCAACGTGGAGACCAGTCGCTCCACAACCTGAAAACACACACACCATTAGATGGGAAAAGCAAATTTTGCACTGAAACAACAAGCTGATGGCATTTTCATTGAGCTATATATAATATGAAGGGCAAGAAAAGCTCAAAACAAGTCCATTCAGCCAGGTGAGTTTTGCAGCATAAAGAACAAACAACACCAATGGCACGAAATATGTTATCAATAACAGAATAATTACTCACTACAAAGTCATGTATAATAAGGGGTGGGATGTCATTCAGAAATAGAGTAACTCTGACAACAAAATTAAAGAACTCTTAATAATCAATATTCAATAGTTTACATACTACTTTTCCTAAACAGTGATAACTTAAGCTAACCACTGTAGAGAGCAAGTCAGACTATATGCTCCCTTAGTAACTAATTATAATAGCCATTTGAAACATTTGTTTGTCCTTAAATATAAGAGCCTTAGCAAATTTCTACATACATTTATTATTTATTTTTTCAAATGTATCTCTTATTAGTACTACTGATTTGTCTTGGAATATGAAAACCCAGCATTGAATGCATATGTACATAGAGGATAATTTAGTAACTCTGACAAACGAATTTTACTCATTAATTACACTACCGACTTTTTTTAATATGTGTATCAAGAGGTCTTATAAATTGGAACAGGGGCTGTAAGAAACAAAACTAAAACTTATAGGTTGCTTTAAAAGTTCTGAAGAATTTATTGTTTTTATCAATTTTTACACATCTTTGCAGCTTTATGATTGATGACAGAGATTCGTTTCAAATTTCATTAAAACCACATTTTAAATCATAACCATAGTAAAACTTAGAAATGTGAGCAATGAAATTCTTAGATGGGCGTAAAATTTTGAACTGCTAACATATATTTATCATTTGAAGGATAAATGAACTGATATTGAATAAAATATTTAAAACTTGCAGACAAGTATTATTCACAAATCAACTGTTGTACAGTCATATATGTATGAATGCATATGTATAACTATATATAGATAGATATAAACTAAAGTTAAAAAATTTTATATTTATCTTGGGGGTATGGATAAGTGATTGGGGAACCCAATAGAAACTGACATTCATTTGTGGAACAATCTAGACCAGCTCCTTAAAACAGAAGTAATCCTCTATAATTACACAAAACCATAAAAGTTTGATACCGCAGGTCATTAAATAGAAAACCTGCCCAAATCCTTGTTCATACATGTCCTACTCGCTAGGCTAGGATCCTCAAATTCACATTTTTCTCTCTTTCTCAACATATATACTCCCTTTTCTTGATTTCGTCCCCCTACCTCTCCCCCTTCCGCGCAAGCATCTGTTATTTCTATGGAGGAATTTCTTCTTTGCCTCCATTATTAGTTGGGTTGGTTCCTCGATCATCTTATCATCCTTCATAATGTACACCCTCGTAACAGTAAGTTGAAAACTATTGACAGTGTAGACAGATCTACATAACTGACCTATAGTTCCATGTACAGATCCATGTCTGGATAAGTACCAAATTATACTTGGTATTGGAATGCCAAAGTACCTTACATGCTGGCATTTGGCATGAGAATATGATGACATAATTCATAACCATTAAAATTGTCATCGTAAATCAGGACTTTTTTACTTCCTGCAGCCAGATCAATTTTGATCAATCCCGGGTCTAAACTAGACACATACCAACAAATGCCTACTACCAAGCCTTTTTCAATTTAATAATAACAATATTATTGGAGAAAAACTTACATCCGCAGGGGTGTCAATTGGCAATTTGAGGACAGTGTCACCAAGAGTTTCCAAGATAGTCATCTCAAGGGACTCATCAGCCTCTAACGCCACTGCCGAGAGAGAATTTGAAGAAAGAGCTCGTCCACAGTATCCAACAAGGAATATTTCATAAACATCAGCAATTTCTTTCCATATTCGTGTTCTGACAGGTTTAGTAATGCCCGACTGTGGACCACCTTTTGTTGATTTGGTTACATAGTCAACAAGAACACGATTGAATGCTTCAACTGCTAACCTCCAAAGTGCACTATCTGGATTGTCTCGTCTTGTTGTCATACATCTGAAAAGTAACATAATAGTATAATTGCTCAATACTCACAAATCTATAGAGAAAAAGGAAAATATTATGCACACATCAACAAGGTGAATAAGAGAGAACTCAGTAGGGGTAAATACATTGTTTCATTCCTAGGTGAAAATCGATACCAGTATGTTAGCAGTAACAGTGGATACACTTTGGGTGTGTTTGTCTGCACTGATTCTGGAAGGAAATATTGAGCAAGGATAGAAAACTCTTTTTTCTAGAATCATCCTCCGCTCGGAACAACACTAAAAGTGAGAGGATTGATGACTTTTGGTGGGTCCCATGTTATTTTTTGTTCCCAGACAAATATGCGATGAAAGTCACAAAGGCAAGCAATGGTGTTGAAAAGACAATAAGGTCCCTGTTTTCAAAAATATTTTATTGATATGTAGTAAATAAATGAGTACATATATAGATATTTGTGTCATTTATTAAATGTCTCACATTCTTTTCTCTTACATTTCTTCCACTTTCACTTCTATCAAACATCCAAAAATTCACTCTACTTTCCACTCACTTTCATGCATTAAACTTTCAATCATTCCACTTTCTTTCCTTATCCAAACAAAGCATTAACGTAAATGATAAAGACTAAAACTGAGTAAAGTAACATGGTATTCAAGACATCCCCATACTCTGCCTAAATATCCTCCATTAACTTTCTCACCTCTATATATTCTCCCTCTCTTCTATCTTCGAGCCATATGGGTCAACTTCCCTCTTGATTCTCTTCAAACTTTCTGGTTCTATTTTATTGCATAATAAGTGTTATGAAATGTAGTTGAGTCTAACTCAACCCTATAAAACCGAATTATAGGGTGAAGATTGCCCCCGCTTATGCTCAAAGCATATAGTCCAATGTGAAAATCTTAACAAAAAGAAAAGAGATGAGCAAAAAATATCGTAAAAGTGAGCTCTACTTCAAAGGTTATTGGTAAAGAGTTGGAGTAATAGTATTTTCTGTTTTCTATTGCTCAATCTTAAATGGCATACTAAAACCTGAGAACTTGGTCTGAAATACTTAAAGAGCAAACAGGTATAATGTTGGAAAATATTATATTTCCCTATCCGTTTATTGTCATTTATTTTCTTTCATTCTCCATTAACGAGAGAATTAAGTATTTTTATTGTATTGACGGCAACAATGGAAACAGGAACATTGTCTTTGGTGATAGTTATTCCAACATAGGCGGTAATGATCAAGAGGGTTTCTCATACTCCCTCAAGGTCAATATCCCTAAAATAAATGGGAATATATATAATGAATGAGCTTAAATTGTTCGGTTAGTGTTGGATAGCAAAGGAAAACTTAGTTTTTTAACAGGAGCAGTAGCTGAACCAGCATCAGGAGATCCTCGTTACAAACAACGTAAATCTGAAAACTCTTTGATTATTGTGTAGCTGGTAAGCTCCATGAAACTGGAATAGGTAAGTCTTACATGTTTTTGCCTTCCGCAAGGGATGTATGGGGAAGCTGTTAAGGAAACATACTCTGATATCAAAACTCATTCTAAATTTTTGGTTTAAAATCAAAGATATGGCATGCGAAACAAGATGACAGGAGTGTATCTGTTTATTACAATGAGTTGTTGACACTGTGGCAAGATTAGGATCTCTGTTATGATGGCAATTGGAGGTGTATAGAATACAGTGTTTTGTTTATCAAGAGGCAAGAAAATGATCGTGTATTCATGTTTCTCGTTGGACTCAATAAAGACCTTGATGAGGTAAGAGGTAGAATTTTAGGAAAAATACCATTGTCAACTCTTCGTGAAACTTTTGCAGAAATAAGAAGGGAGGAGGCACGACAAGGAATTATGATGGGCAAGACACCACGAAGTTTTGAATCTGAAGGTTAAGCACTGTCTACTAGACAGACTATACAAACTCCTCGAGTCTCCAACCCCTTCTTGCTCTATAGCAACAAAAGGTAATTCTGCATTCCTTAGTGTCAGCCTCAGTCATACTTGGATAGTAGACTCAGGTGCCTCTGATCACATAACAGGTGAATCTACTTTGTTCTCTTCATATAGTCCGTGTGCAGATAATCAAAAAATAAAAATTGCAGATGGCTCTTTTTCAGCCATTGCAGGTAAAAGGTCAGTTGTGTTGTCTCCAAACTTATCCTGTAATTTAATGTCCGTCAGTAAATTAGTCCAAGATATAAATTGTCAAACTAACTTTTTCCGATCTCATTGTGTCTTTCAGAATTTGAACTCGGAGAAGATGATTGGCAGTGCTAAGGAGAGTGGAGGACTCTACTACCTTGACATTAGATATGTATCACAATTACATTTAACAATAAGTTCCTGCTTTGAGTCTTTTTCTGTTTTGAATAATAAAGATGACAACATTATGGTACGGCATTTAAGATTGGGTCATCCTAGTTTTCGTTACTTAAAACACTTGTTTCCTAAGTTATTTCACAATAAGAATTTTTCTTCGTTTAAATGTGAAGCATCTAAGCTTGCAAAGCATCACCGTTCCCAATTTTCAATACAGCCTTATAACCTATCAGAATTGTTTTCTATTATTCCTAGTGATGTTTGGGGCCCTAACCGTACTGGTACACTCTCTCAAAAAATGGTTTATCACATTTATCGATGACCATACAAGAGTATGTTGGGTGTAATTGTTAAAGGGGAAATTAAATGTTTGTCAGACGGTAAAGAATTTTTTTACAATGGTGTAAAACCAATTTCAAACAAATATCCAAGTTTTTAGAAGTGATAATGGCAAAGAATATTTTAACACTATCCTGGATGATTTTTTTTTTAAAATGGGATTGTACATCAATGTTCATGTCCTAATACTCCTCAACAAAATGGAGTGGCCGAAAGGAAAAATAGACATTTATTGGAGGTTGCTAGAGCTCTATTTTTTTCGAATAAAGTACCAAATTATTTGTGGGGCGAAACTGTTTTAACAGCTGCGTATTTAATTAACAGAATACCCTCCCAAATTCTCAATTTTCAAACTCCAATTAATGTCTTCAAAGAATGTTTTCCTAGTACTCGTGTTTTACCTGATTTGACTTTAAAAATCTTTGGTTGCACAACCTTTGTTCATGAACATAAAAATGTTGGAAAACTTGAGCCACGTGCTATAAAATGTGTCTCTGTTGGATACTCCCCAACCCAAAAAGGAATGTTTTGATCCAAAAAACAAGAAAATGTTTGTTACTATGGATGTTACATTTTTTGAAAATAAACCTTTCTTTGATGACACTCATCTTCAAGGGGGGAGATAAAGGAAGACTCGTTTCAAATTGAGAACATAAGTTTTTTGAAAAATTTATCTTTGCCTGTACCACAAAATTTTGAGACTTCTACATCTGCACCAAAAGAAAATGGCCATGATTCTGTATCTGATCCTACTCATGTTATGAGTAAGGAGCCTTGTTAATCCGAGCCTACATTTTCTCTTGTAGAAAACAATGAGAATCCTGAAAACAATGATAATGATGATCTAATTGAAATGCCACAAAATAATGAGTCACTTTAAGAAAACAGATTCGAATTAGGAAACAGGATTTGGAAAGGGAAGGTTTTTATGAAAAAACACCATAAACGAATGGACGAGTCCACAACTCAACACTGCCAGAAATCTGAACTGGGGAATGATCAACCTCCTAACAAAAGGAAAGGTAAGTATATCTCTGTCTTTGAGAGTCGTATTTTGTATCCTGATATAGATGATCCTGTTGTCATTAGAAAACCCGTCAGATCTTGCACTAAATACCCCATGTCCAATTTTATTTCATATTCAAATTTGTCTTCATCTATGTCTGCCTTCACCTCAAAATTGTCTAGTGCAAAAAATTTTAAAACTGTACAGGTTGCTCTTGAAATTCCAAAGTGGAGGAAAGTTGTACTTGAGGAGATGAAAGCTCTTGAAAATAACAAAATTTGTAGTGTTATGTCGCTAACAGATGGCAAAAAGACAGTTGGATGCAAATGGGTGTAGTATAATTCAGATGGGTCAACTGAAAGGTACAAGGCTCGCTTGGTGGCTAAAGACTTCACTCAGACCTATGGTATAGACTACTCAGAGACATTTGCTTCTGTTGCAAAATTGAACTCTGTAAAAATTCTTTTATCTCTTGCTGCTAACCTGGATTGCCCCTACATCAGTTAGATGTTAAGAATGTCTTTCTTAATGTTGATCTAGAAGAAGAAGTATATATGGACATTCCTCCTGATTTTGAAAACAAATTTGGATCAAATGTATGCAAACTAAATAAGTCTTTGTATGGATTAAAGCAGTCTCCCAGAGCTTGGTTTGAAAAATTCACTCAATCCATGAAGAATCAAGGGTACATCTAAGGACAGGCTGACCAAACCTTGCTCTCAAAATTCTCCAACAATGGGAAAGTTGATCTGATTGTTTATGTTGATAATATTGTCCTTACTGGAGACGATACAATGGAAATGACAAAGGTAAAAGAGAAATTGGCAATAGACTTTGAAATCAAGGACTTGGGCTTCATGAGATATTTTCTAGGCATGGAGGTTGCTCGGTCAAAGAATGGTATTGTGGTTTCACAGCAGAAATAGATTCTAGACTTATTGAAAGAAACAGGAATGAACAGATGTCGTCCTGCAGATACCCCTATAGATCCTAATGCTAAACTTTGGAGAGAAGGTAATGTTCCTATTGATACTGCAAGATATCAGAGATTGGTTGGAAAATTGATTTATTTGTCACACACCCGACCTGATATTGCTTTCTCAGTCAGTGTAGTGAGTCAGTTTATGCATTCTCCTTTCGAGGAACATCTTGAGGCAGTCTATAAGATATTGAGATATCTGAAGGGAAATCCTGAAAAAGGATTATTTTTTAAGAAGACTAGTCAAAAGAATGTATCTATCTTCACTGATGCTGATTGGGCAGGTTCAGTCACCGATAGAAGATCAACCTCTGAATATTGTACCTATGTTTGGGGTAATCTTGTGACATGGAGGAGTAAGAAATAAGGCGTTGTAGCAAGGAGTAGTGCAGAAGCCGAGTTTAGAGTTATGTCTCAAGGTATTTGTGAAGGATTATGGATCCTTAGAGTCGTAGAAGAACTTAAGATGAAAGTTGAGCTTCCATTGAAATTGTACTCTGACAGTAAAGTTGCTATTAGCATAGCTCATAATCCAGTTCAACATGACAGAACCTAGCATATTGAGATTGATCGACACTTCATAAAGGAGAAATTAGATGCTGGAATCATATGTCTACCTTTCGTGCCTTCAAGTCAGTAAACTGCGGATATCCTGACTAAAAGTTTGGCAAGACCTAAGCATTTGATAGACAAGTTGGGCTTGATAGATATCTATGCACCAACTTGAGGGGGGGGTTGGAACATATTTTATTTTCCTATTTAATTGTTTCCGTTTATTGTCATTTATTTTTTTTTATTCTCCATTAAAGAGAGAATTAAGTGTTTTTATTGTATTCTTATTATATAAACCAGCCTTTGACCGAGGAATAAACAGCTTTTACCTATTTTTTCCAATATATAATATAATTAATCTAATATGAGATATGTTAGGATCCCTTGAGACCAAAGGAGATTCTCCAACTCCTTTTGAAGAAGGTGTGAGACATTGCTTATAGTCTGAGGACTAACTTTACATATAAACCAAGTTCTCCCGGTTAACTTTACATATAAACCAAGTTTTCCCGGATCACTCGAGCTTGGAAGGATTGGTATGCAAGACTAAACATAATAGACTTACGAGTACATCAAGATGGGTAAAGACTTGATAAAATATAACTTTGTATTACATCAGTGACTACATATATAGTATATTTGTTATGACATAGTGTGATGGTTGGAACATTTGAAATTTTTTTAATATTTTATGTTAATGAGTTTTATAACTCACTATATTTGGGGCGGAGGAGTTCGGGTGAAAGTTGGCATTGGAAAGCCAAAGAGTATATTTAGATTGAGTTAGGTTCAACAGCAATTGTTAATTCGGTATCAAGAGCTTATCGATCAAGCCACCCACCATTTATTCCGCGCACCATGCTCAATAATGTTAGGTGTGATGGAGTGTGTTGGAAAATCGGCTTGTAAAGTGAGGGATGTCGCCCTTAATAAACTCTTATTAAGTTCTATCTTTAACCAGTGTCGGACTTGTGTTTTTCTCATACACCCTCTCACACCCAACACTATTGGACATGAGGCATGGTTATATGCAGTGGGCGGCCCGAACTGTTGATATGTAGGACTTGATTTTTCCAATACACTCCTTCACGTCCAACATTATAGGGCTTGGTACGTTGAATAAATGGTGGGTGGCACGATCGATAGACTTTTGATACCATATTAAGAATTGTGGTTCAGTCTAACTTAATCTTACAAAACCAGTTTTTAAGGTGAGGATTGCCCCCACTTATAAACATATATTCAGGCCATGTATTGTCCAACATGAGACTTTTTAACACACTCCCTTATGCACAGGACTGAACACCTAGAGCGTGGATATATATGGTGGGTGACTCGATAACAGAAACATGATAGCATGTGGCCCAACAGATCTTGAGCGAGGCTCTGATACCATCTAATTTAACATGCCTCACACATTCAATCCTTGATTCTCACTGGGTTTTGTGATGCCGATTAGGCCTTAGACCCTAATGAAAGAAGATCAAATTCAGGAGCATGTACTATCTAGGCCAAAATCTTGTGTCATGGTGATCGGAAAATAGAATTTAGTTGCCCGTTCCAGTTCAGAAACTGAATATAGGAGCATTGACATTCTATCTGATAGAATTAGAGTTTGACCTAACAAATCCCTACAAAACCGGCTTGTAAGGTGAGGCTTGCCCCTATTTTTAAACACAACACAGGCCATATCTCCAAGTAATATGGGACTAAATCTACCCCTTCAAAGCTAACATGAAAGTGTTAGGGGCTGCAATGAGGCAAGCCAAAGTGCCGCAATTAAGGCGGAAAGTCCAACACACCTCGTGCTTGGGCCTCAATGAACCCAAATTATGGACGATGCGGGAAGTCCAACAATAGATCTAGGATAGGCTCTTATACCATCTTAAGAATGTGTGGGATGGGCCTAACTCATCCTACAAAACCGGCTTGTAAGGTGAGGATTGCCCCCATTTATAAACACAACACAGATCATATCTCTAAACAATGTGTGACTAAATTCACCCCTTCAAAGCTAACATGAAGGTGTTAGGAGCTGCAATGAGGCAAGCTAAAGTGCCACAATTAAGGCGACTAGGGACAGACCGCAATTAAGGCGGAAAGTCCAACACTATTTATTGAAATTCTCTGGCTCCAATCCCTTTTCTTGGAGCTACAACTTGAGTTTCAGACTCATCAAATACTGTGTGACAATTTAAGTACAGTTTCTTTGGCACACAGTCCAACTCTGCATAGCAGAACAAAACACATGAAGCTTAACATATTCTTTCTTAAGGAGAAAGTAATGAACAAAAGTTTTATAGTGTCTCATGTTCCAGCTCAAGACCAATAGGCAGATGTGTTCACCAAACCTCTATCTGCTCGTTTCATCAATTTCAAAGACAAACTGAGAGTCTTCGACAAATCCATAGTCAAACAAGAAACTCCAGTTTATAAGGTCGTATATCAAAGATACTGTCAATTAAGGCATCAAAGATGGTGCCTGTGCCAGCTGAATTACTGTTAATTTCTTTTATAACAACATGCAGTTAGTTTCTGTTATAACTCCTTGAATTTAGGAATTGTTCCCTTGATTTAAGAGAGTTAATTTAGCCTAACTGCAATTCTATAAATAGATTTGAATCTATTGTAATCAGTAACAATGAAATCATCATAACATATTCTGAAATTTCAATAGATAGCTCCTGGGCTGATGCTATGATAGGGACTTGTGCATTATGAGATGCCCAAGTCCCACATCAAGTAGCATGTGATACTCGGAAGAGATAAAAGAAAGAATTTAGCATCCGCACATCTTCCCAAAATGAAAGCATGACAACAATTCTCATCAGAGGATAAATGTACTTCCACGATTAGCATTCATCCCAAGCAGGTTTCTTTTCCCTGATTTCCTATTAAAACATCATACAACCCCGGATGTATGCAGCTACAGTAATTATGAGCTCTGCCTGAATCTACTCTTCACAGAAACACAATCTCAGTCTTTTCATGGCTACATTATAAATATTTTTAACTAAAATTTTGAAAAACACTCTCCAAACCTTCCGCGAGCTATCTTATTCCTATCTGCCATTAACAAGTGTAGTAGCAGAAACAATTAAAATTTATCAAGAGCGGTTACTACCTTCCCAGGCTTTGAATAACTTCAGGGTATACCATATACTTTTCAGCTGTAGGTGCCTGCAGGAATAGATCTACCAGTACAGGAACTAGCTTTTCTGCAAATATATAACTAGGAATGACTGCATTTATAGCTGCAGTTAACCCAGAATCCGGAGACGCTGCTACTATATCACGTGATATTGGAATAGAGCCATTAGGTGGTTGATTGTTCACCGAAGAATCTGCACAAATGAGAATGGATTTTTTATTTTAACCTAAAGGGGAAATTGAACTAGCTCAGATACAACCAAATATTTCCATGCTTGGGCTAAGATCCGAACCTCTTGCTCGATCTATTTTTCCATCGTCATTCAGTAAATGGGTATCCTGTCTAGGAAGATACTGCAGAAACTCTCGAAGAAAAACAGGCCACATGGAAGAAATGTGTTCAGTTGGGCCTAACAGCGGTAAGATTTCCAATACAGTCCGTAGCACAGGTGGGACATTACCCTAGAAAATTGGAACAACCATTTATGAAAATGTTTATACTTAAAAAGGATAATTCTATTACAACTATAAAGTAGGTTCTTTTAAATATACAACAGAATTCTTCTTGAAAGAAAAGTAAAAATTGAGGAAGCAATATCACATACGCAAAACTACAAAAAGTCACTTGGAATATAAATAAGTTAAATGATGGAACTTAAAAATAGTGTCATGTTCATAAAAATTATGGAATTTTCTGGAAATCATTATTGCTGAAGAACGGTTATTAAATTCATTTCCCTTTCATAAACTGTGCAATGAACTAAATATGGAATTTTCTGGAAATCATTATTTCTGGAATTTTCTAACTAACTATCAATTCACCCTTCACACCTTCCTCACACTCTCTTCTTTTTCCTTGTGTAAACTCGGCACACTTTGGGCTATTCATTGTTAATTCTCACAAACACATCTGCCTCTACTGGATCAGGCCCATACAAACTCCTATCGGTAGCAATACATGAAGTTCACAACTTTATAACACTAATAATTCTGAAAACTAATAATATACAAGTGGTAATTGTAAAGTGCAGTGAAGATTTATAATTATCTCCATTTGTGTTATGCATTGGATATTACACATTTCCTGTTATAGAAGAAAAAAGTGTTGAACATAACAGTATCACTTCTCAATGAAAGAAAAAGTTATTAAAATATGGACTTACGAATTCCATTTCAAAGTTATCATTTGTTATCATGGCTTGCTTCACAGCCAAATCTATGATTGCTAGCATCTGTGTGTATATGACATCGTCAAACGATCCTTGAGCCTGGACATAAATCTCTCCTAATAGTCGTTAAAAATATTAAGTGAAATCAGCCTCATGTCACTATCACTATCTGAAGCTAACTTGACAGTTGTTCAAATAGAAACTTAAAGGTGTGACTATTCTCCATGAGCAATGTACAAAGAAATAAATTATTGTATAATGATAAAATGAAAATCAATACATTACCAAGACCATGCAGAATCTCCTGCTTCACCTTGTCACTGTAACTGGATGGCTTTTTCAGAACATGCTCGTAAACATCGACCACTGAAATAAGGTAACGCATAGGCATATTTCCCTAATTCATGAACTTCAGTCAGTATTTATGAGTATATTTCAACTAACAGTGCTTTCTTATATTTGTTCACTCCACTGCTTAAATGTCAAAACAGCTAATATCAAAGATGAAAGGGCTTTGGAAAGCTCAATTTAGCAGCCAAATTTACATATACAAAGAGAATATCAGATTTGACTCATATCACTGTCACTACCTTCAAAGAATGGGAGTTAACATTTGTCTGCAAACAATTAATTGCAGCAAGTGCTACTTCTTTGCTACCATTTAAAATGCTATTTTCCACAAACTGAAGCAATGATTCCCAGCCTACACATGGCCAAATTAAATCAGCATTACGTGGACATACCACCATAGGAAACTGGCAGATAAATCAGATTTAAATACTGAACACACCTGACCAAAAGTTACTTAAGCTTGTGAAAAAAGGAAAGAACAAACGTAATATACGTGCTATTCCACCAAGAACAAGCACAAGGGTTTCATCCCACTGCTTCTGAGCAGTGTTACGGCTGCATAATTGATTAAAACATAAGTATATATCAAGATATTTTGGAATGATTATGATATTAACAAAGTAGTTGCCTGCAATGCATATATAGTAAAAGGTATAAGTGTCATTATGCAGTAATAGTATAGCATAAACACAAATGTGGGAGTCGGCATTCTGTACATTGTTCAAGAGATTTGTAAACCTACTTTCTTTCTCTATCTTTTAAGTTTCCCTATTCCTTTACTTGTAATTAGAGCTATTTAACTCTCCTCCTCTCAGTTTTTAATCCAGTTTGTGAATCCAACAATCAGATTATAATTTGTCTTTCATGCAGTTTAATACATGAGCTATGTTGCTAATTGCAAGTTATGGTCCGTTGAGCTAGTTGTCAATCATTGATCTCTCTACCAGTTATTTTGTTAGTTTAGTAGTAGTTGATTGAATTCGTTAAGCTTGTTCAAAAGAAAGAGAAAGCTTATATAAGCTTCAGCTAAAGGAAGAGTGTAAAGCAATACAGGGAAACCCGAGGAAGTGATGCGGGCAATGTTGTCAATGACGGATGACAGTTTACGCAAGACAGCATAGTTCCCTCATATAAATGTGGCAATTCACAAATTGCCTATAGCAGCTGGTGCTAAATCATCCACACCATGGCCTAAATTTAACAAAACTTGATGTGGGATTAAAAATGTTATGTAGTTTTGGTGCATCCAAACTAAAGGGTCAAAGTGTCATAATTTAGTCAAATTACAATTGGTAATTTTACTGTGGAAGAAAAAAATAATATAATTAGTGGATACAAGATTAGGACTTTAGGGATCACTAGCATGTACACTGTTCAGTCTTTTCAGGTAATACAATAATTACTGTTACTTTTTTCTCCATTTTCTCCCCATTTTCTCAACTAGGTGTATCACTGAGGCCACAAATAAAATAAAAAATGAATATAACAAAGTCAAGGATAATTTCAAATACCTATGATGTATGAGCATGTGAACCGCTTTTCCTCCTCGAGTTCCGAGTTCTTTCCCTTGCCATTCGTCTTTTGATGAAGTAGCAACCTACTTGCCAAATAACCAAAAATTCAAAATACAACCACGTGTGCTGAAAATAAGCTTTCAAATATCAACGACAATCATTTCATATTACCATGAAAGAAGCACGGTCTAATGTAGGAAATACATAATTCCAAAGACAATCTTCCCACATACTCTTTGAAAGCTTTTGCCCATGAGTTCCTAATGTTTGGAAAAGTGTTCGAACAGCAGAATTTCTTACCTGCAAAACAAAACTTTCAGTGCTAGAAATCCTTCATATCCAGCAGTAATAGTCAAGAGTAATGTTAAATAGGTTGTAATATTTAATGGAATTTGCTTTATTGTCCAAACTTCCTTAATTGCCACAGGAAAATATAGGCACAGAAGAATGGGAGTTTGGAGATCTTACAAATTGGCACAGGAACACTTGTGATACCATCTTGACTCGTGCTACGAGTCTAGAGTAGGCGACAATGTCGAGGAAAATATGGACGGTATAAGCATTGACAAGAGAGGGAAAATTAATTGGTAGCTTCTACCTTTGACCACCAGTTCTTCCTTTTACTTACACTTAGCATATAGGTTCCACATGCTCCCCTGCACCCATGGCCATAACAGCTAACTCCTCACCTTCTCCTTCACCTTATCCAGTGGTAAATCATTGTGATCCTCACTGTCCATCAAATATCATCATATGCAAACTTGGTCTAAATCAGGGATCGTAATTGATCCTACTCTACTCTCTAATTGATTCAAGATACATAAAATCCAGGGAAACAAGTACTGGCTGTTCCCTAGTGGCTTGCCAACTCTGAAACTGCGAATAAGACATCGCTCAACAATTACACTGTCCTTGGTACCACTGCGACAATCCACTTCCCCAGCACACTACCCACTTGGATTATCTTCTCTATTTTTGTTTACGCCATGTGACCGAGAAAATGACCATCAGAGCCCCCGCCCATTTTTCCTGTGTCTCCGTGCTTCCAAGATTCCATTATATCCCCTCCATCATCTGGCATATATATATATATATATATATATATATATATATATATATATATATATATGTATATATATATATATATATATATATATATATATATGTATATCTATATATATATATATGTATGTATATATATATATATATATATATATATATATATATATATATATATATATATATATATATATGTATATATATATATATCTATATATATATATATATATATGTATATATATATCTATATATATGTATATATATATCTATATATCTATATATATATCTATATATATATCTATATATATATATATATATATATATATATCTATATATATATATATATATAGGCATTCTTCTTGACCACAGCGGTAATTGCCTCTATCATTTCTACATCACAACCAGGACTATGCCTCATTGGCACTTGTTTTAGCTTATTTCTAAGCCCAATGTTGTTTCTCAAAAGAATGTTGTAATACAAGATCAATAGCTTCTTTCTAAAACACAGATTCACCGTTTCTAGCCCTAATAGGTGATCAGATGAATTTGTTAGGGTCTAGGGAGAAGAATTGAAAGAAAAAATTGAACGAAGGAGAATAGGAAAGAGTTCTCTCTTCCAAGGATTCCCTTCACAAATTATCATATGTCTCAGAATTTGTGTTGGGTCTAAAACATCCATACAAAACCGGCTTGTAAAGTGAGGATTGCCCCCACTTATAAACACAACACAAGTCATATCTCTAGGCAATGTGGGACTAAATTCACCCCTTCAAACCCAACACAATGAAGGTGTTGGGGGCTGCAATGAAGGCAAGTCAACTGCCGCAATTAAGGCGGAAATTCCAACAATAAGTATGAAATTGCTTTCTCTATCCTTTTTTCTTCTATTTACATGGCGTCTTTTTTAACAACATACTAACCAAACTAATCATAACTATTTTAACTTCCCTTTATTATTTATCCTGATTGTAATTAATAGCAATTATTGTTATTGAAATATTGCAATTAGTAGCAATTATTAGTATTGGAAGTTGTAGTCATTATTATTTTTTTATTCCTTGTCTTGGTCTATCACTTTCCCTTGTCCAAGAATCAGGTTTGACTACAAATATTCTTGACAATCCTCCTCTTGAGCAATCTCAAAGATCACATATCATATACCAACGTCTTTCACATGTTGCTAATACAAAATTTGAAGGCACTAAAACACCATTTGAATCATGTCTTACACCAACGTATGTCCCAGCTACAAACCTTCTTGAAGAAAATCTTGACTTGCCCATTGCTCTTCGAAAAGGTACTTGGTCTACTCGCAATCCCCATCTTATTTATAACTTCTTAAGTTACCATCGTCTCTCTCCTTATTATTCTTTTGTATCATCTACATCTTCTATTTCCATTCCTACAAATGTTTTTGAGGCACTTGACCATCCAGGATTGCGACAAGCCATGGTTGATGTCGATGGTAAAAAAAACCTATTGGATGTCGATGGGTATATGCTATTAAATTTTGGGCCAATGGACACCCAAATTCATGGGCTTGATTATGGAGATGTTTTCTTCCCTATGGCCAAAATAATGTTTGTTCAATTATTTATTACCATAGCTGTCATCCATCATTGGCCATTATATGAGTTGAATATTGTCTGATGCGGAACTCTTAACATGCAACCTCACGACTAGGGCTGGGTGAGTTGGATATAATGGAATTGGTGCGTAGATATAAGTGGTTTCTTCAAAACCGTAATTATCTATCCTAATAGATTCATATGAACGTCACAAATACACTCAACAAAAGGAGGGAGAAAAGTAGAAGTTAAAGCAACATTTGAAATTTAATCATCATACCTCTGGTCTCTCATCTGCCCCAAGGTTTTGAAGTAATGAGAAAACAGAGAATAAAAGCTTCTCATAATCAACACCGTCTATATAAGAAGGCCGATCTCTAGCATTATTGGGAAAACTAGGTGCTTGATCCTCCATCTTTTCGCTGTCTACCTGCTTCAGTATGGAACCAGCACCTGAAAGGTATAACCATTATAAACCACTTGGTATAATTTCAGAACTACAGAAGTTTATGACATGGATGGCTTGAAAACATAATCTAAACCTGTTTCTTTTTCTTCAAAAGGTTCATTGAGAAGGCCCTTTGCAATGAAATCAGTCATAGTCCACAAAAGTCCAACCGCCGTCAAGCTTATGTTCAACTCCGTCTTTTGAGCACTGTATGCTCCTGTCACATCAACACACCTGTAATACACGCAATAATCAACATAATATGACAGGAAGAGCCTGTCAGGAATTAGTATATGTGGGCAAGTTACATGTTGTGCATAAATGAATGTGTAACGTGAATACAACATTTATGAAAGAACTCAAACATGTTACAATTACTACCCAAAGAGTAGTCACAAGATTAAAAAAAAAAATCATAGTTATGCATGAATGCAGTATGTATGGTCAAATTTGAGATCTCACACTTGAAGGCAGTCTCTAGGTATGGCGGACAGTCCATCATTCATTATCACCCGTAGGTTCTGGGCATAAATAAACACTGGAAAATTAGAAAACTTTCTAATGATGAAGAGAAAGGAATATATTTTTAAAAAAATGTTAAAAAAAAAATTGGGAGTATGTGAAGTATTTAGTTCAAGTAATAACCTATTGCTAGTTAAACAAGAGGACTCAGAAAACTTGAAATAAGAAAGAAGTGAAAGAATGGGATAAATCCATAAGAAACTAAAACAAGAGAGCAATGGAATAAACTCATGAGTAATAAAAAACAATAACTTAAAATGACACCCCATAATTAACTTGTAGGTTGTGCAATGTAATTAGAATCGATAAGTATTTGATGCACTGAAAAATCAAAAACAAGACAATGGCCATAAACAATTGTTAGAGGAAGAGAGAAATCACTTTTTTTTTTACTAATTTAAATAAGGGTAATGTTAACTTGTGCCCTAGGAGCACATGTTAAGAAATCCATAAATAAAAAATTTGTATCGGAAAAGGTATTAAAAGAATTAATTATAAGCTTTTGATAAAATCAATACACAATTTCCAAAAAATTATTTCTACAATTAGTTCTTAACTTGTTCCCCAAGGGCACAAGTTAGCATTACCCTTTAAATAACCATTAATGGTCTAAAGCATTATGGCATCATTTGATTGACTTAGCTAACTCCATCTTCTGGGAAAAGGCTGGATTTGTGTTGTAAAAGTTCAAAATCTCAAAAAAAAGGATAAATCAAAAACACAGTTTGGTGAAAAAGAACTTTCAGTTATCTGCTATCTAATCTCATGATTAAGGAGTAAAAATCATTAACCTTTTCAGCTTTTACATTTTAGTAAGTTCACTGTACACACTATGTTTGAGTTAATTAAAATGTGATGTAGTAGATTTAATCAATAAAAATAAAAAGTCAAGCAGATAAATATTTTCAAAACCTACACAAAGCTCCCTCCTATGATAGAAGTTAATAAAAGGAATAGAATTTTCACAAAAAGTTAGTGAAAAATAACATAAATAAAAGGTTTGTGGAAGTGTACAAAACCGAGGGGAGTGAATTTTGAAGGAATGAATTTTTAACAATTTACTCAATTAACTATTAAGCCAATGCCTTGAAAACAGAAGTAAATATTAAAATAATTGTAAATAAATCTTTTTTTTTCCAAAGAAATTTTCAAGTGAAACTGCAAGAATATGGACCCAGGGATTATAGATAACAAATTAACAATGAGTTCTCTCTTGAAAAGGTCCCTAGTTCCCCACTTAATATAGAGAACTTTTCAGAATTGGCATCATAAGTAGCTAGAGAGAAGTGCTACTTGTCAACTCAGTAATATCAATAGCCCCGTTACAATAAATGCTACAAAGTAACTCAAGATACCTGGAAACCAAGAGTAACAAGATCCTTTTCGGAAACATCTGCTACATACCTTACAGCAAGACAGAAGCATAGGTTAAAAAAGAACTACCAAAAAAATAGGGACATAGGCAATAGAAGGCCAACCTCAACATTTCAAGTATATTCGGCCAGCTGTAATGAAGTGTTTCTCCATATCTCTGGAAGATTTTTTAAAATAATATCACTTGAAGAAATTAAGAATAAGGAAATAAAAATGAAAACAAAAGTTGACCGGTAAACAATAGCAGTACCTCTAAGACATGCAAAAGAATTTTCAAAGATCCAAGACGGACATCTACACTTTGGGTAGAAAAATAAAGAGCTTTTAGAGGAGATATGACAGAACATTCAAGAGACATCAACTTATCGAGATCGGCTTCCTTCTGCATATCATTGGGGCACATTATAAATCCTGCTATGAATAAAATATTGGTTTCTGGTCATAAAAAGGGTAGAAGATCTCACTTCCTGAGATGTTTGAAGAGGCTTGAATTGTTTGTAGTTTTGGAATTGATTGGAACCTAATACTGCAGAAATAGATTGATCAAGCGCATCAAGTGCCATATTTTTCAAATGTGGATTAGGATTATCAGCAAGCTGCAAAATCAGATGAGAATATCAGGAGGGATGAAAATGAAACTAGCATTACCGCATCAAAGAAACAAAAGGTATAGAAGGAAACCTCAAGAAAGTGACTAACAACTTGATCCCAAAATGGCTCAATCCCTACAGTAAAAAAAGGATGACATAGGTGATGAAAAGTGAAGATATTAAAAAAACCTAAGTAGGTAAACATCCTAAATATTACAGTTGATGAAAAGTGAAGGACAAAACATCCAGCACACATGTACATTCACTATTGTGCTCATAGTTATTGAAACTACATACTGTGAACATTATTCACAAGGATGGATATCATTCTCTCCACTGAAAAGCTGATACTTCCAAGTTTTTGAGTTGTTGTTGGTCCCAAACCACTTGAATTTCCCAGCATGCATTGATGTGAAAGTTGACATAATGCAGAGAGGAGAGATTTCACAGCAGATACATTCATCAAAGCAGAGCTCTCAAAGAGCTTTCAAACAAAAAACAATACAAAGTTAGATCAATTGACCAGTAAATTATGAAAAGAAAAATGCAAACTAGTAAAATGAATGCTTAGTCAGTAATTAAAATCAGATTTTCTTTCTCAATTTTGAACGTGAAAAGGTATTCAAGAAAAAGAGTTCTAACAAGGAAAACATTTTGTAAGGGACATGTAAGATAACAAGCCTGGCACACGAATAATATTATGGAATAATTTTTATTGTATTCATATTCATCCTAAGTTGTGTGTGGTGGTTAAATTTATATTCCATGCCCGGCCACCAAACAAAACTAAATTTGTTCATTCACCTGAGAGTTCAAAGAAGAAAGTATATTGAAGTCACTGTATTGAGTTGATAACTCCCTTGCAAACTTTGTGACAGGGGTAGAAACCTCCTGCAGATTTCATGGTCATGTACTCTGTAAGCTTTAAGGTTTTATAGAAGACACCGAAAAGGAATTCAACAAAACCATGCCCGCATATGAAACTTAATTTGACAAACATTTTTTTGCAATATCATTTTAGAAGTAAACAGAATAGAGTACAAAATGAAAAGATATGATTAAGATATCCTCGTGAGAAGAGGCACAAAAAATGAAACTTGGAAAAATCAAACGAGTCAAAAAAACAGTAAAGCTCTCCAATCCTTAAAAGCATGATTAACAAGGGACAATCACTTAAAGAAACATTTACCAAGCACCAAAAAAAGGATGATAGGACAATCATGTATTAAAACAGAGCTGTTAGCAAGAAAGACTTCTTTCTAGATATTCCAAAGAACAACGTACTATTAATAGAGAGCCATTCCATCAGCTATGGTACAAACCCCTCAAATTTAGCTTAGGAAACTGATCCAAATGGATTGAGCTATAAGGAAATGTAAAATGGCAGGCAACTATTTCATGGCTTAAGTCACATGATACACATCAAGAGAAAGAGATAGCTTTACATATTTCCTGTTTTGCAGCAATCAGAAGGAAATGGCAGTAATCATGAAAGCTTGATCTATAAGGAGAAAGACCAAGAATGGCTTTGCTCAACACATCTCCAACAACAATAATTACATTGGAACTCAAAACTTATCTCTATATTCTACTTTTACTGCTTTCTCTTTTAGCAATTTAAATCAAACAACTAGACCATTTATTCATTTACATGGCCATAGGTTGACCCTTTATAATAGTGAACACATGCTATCACCATCAAGGAAAAAGATTATTGCTTCAATATTGCTAATCCGTGACATCAGCATAACTTTTTTGGCAATTGAAGCTCGCTTTACTGGATAATAGAGATTATAGTACAAACAAAATACCTGAGTAGTAGCATGTGGGGAATGAATTGCTCGATCTAAAGCTGCTAAAGTTTCCAAAACCTGCAGGGGTTCATCATGATCACTCATTATGTAAAAAAAAAAACTAAATATTGACAGAACAGGAGAAAAATACAACGACGTACCAAAACCCAGGATGGACCCAAAACATTATGCAATCGATGAGCAATGTTGAAAAGAGTTCTCAGGGCCTACAGTTAACGAAATCCGCCAGGGAGAAACATGAGTAGTTGCAATGACACAATCAAAAATACATACCCACTAAAAGAATTTATTTGGATAAAAATCATTACAGTCAAGGAAAAAAGTACTCATTATATAGCCAGAAAGACCACCTGTACATTCTTGGGCGTAAGCACAATGCTTTCCCTCTGGTCAACTGCTATTTCTGACCGTTTTGATACAGGAGACGGCAAAGCACTGCTAATATCTCAAGTTATAGCCAAAATCTCAGTACTGTCAGCTTGAATTCTTCAAAGACAGCCAAATAAATGATATTCGCTCCATTTTTTATTATAAGTCGATTTGGGAAAAAAATTTGTACCAAATTATAAGTCATTTAACAATGTCAATATATCATTAATGACACTTTACCTATTATATCCGCAAGCATTCAACATTCTCTCTTCTTTCAATTCTTTAAATTTATCTTTTCAATACCATTAGTGAAGGACAATTTTGTAAAATCCTTCATAATTTCTCTTTTTCATACAATAATAATTACATTTCTTAATACGTGTGAAAATGTCAAAACGACTTATAATAAAAACCATAGGTAGTAAACAGAAAGAAGTAAGTCGGCATTTAACATCATACCTCCTTTTTTCAGTTTCAACAGGAAAGTTGATGGTGAATTTGCAAAGGGATGCAAGAAATGAGTTTAAAGGTTCTACAGTCCGAAGAATCCCACAAGCCTGTGAAATCATATAATGCACATATCGTTTTTTAAAGTTCAAGGTTGATTTTAGATGACACTAAAAAATCCCAAAATGGAGGTACCTGAGTGAATGCTTGATATCCCTTCAATATTTCCAATACAATGGCCTCTCCCTGTGACCTTTAAATTAACCAGAAGTCAAATGTCAAGAAAATATTGAAACCATAAAAAATAACATAGGAATAAGATAAGTCAAAACCAGCAGAGTAAAAAATAATTCTTAAATAACATTTTATAGGATAATTTCTCAAAATCCAGCAAACTATTTAAATATAATCCACCCGGTTGGTTGTCCATACTCAATCTCAGAATTTGGATTTGGGCCTAACTCATTCCTACAAAACCGGCTTGTAAGGTGAGGATTGCCCCCACTTATAAACACAACACAGACCATATCTCTAAGCAATGTGGGACTAAATCCACCCCTTCAAAGCTAACACAATGAAGGTGTTAGGGGCTGCAATGAGGCAAGCCAAAGAGCCGCAATTAAGGCGACTAGAGGCGGACCACAATTAAGGCGGAAAGTCCAACACACCCCATCACGCTTGGGCCTCAATGAGCCCAAAGCGTGGACGATGCGGGAAGCCCAACAATAGATCTAGGATAGGCTCTGATACCATATCAAATTATTCAACTTTGATAAAAAATTTAACAAAGGACCGCAATTAAGGCGGCTAGGGTTTTTTATGCGGAAGCAAAACCCTCTTGAACAAGAGCTCGTGATACCATCTCAGAATTTGGGTTGGGCCTAACTCATCCCTACAAAACCGGCTTGTAAGGTAAGGATTGCCCCACTTATAAACACAACACAGGTCATATCTCTAAGCAATGGGACTAAATCCACCCCTTCAAAGCTAACACAATGAAGGTGTTAGGGGCTGCAATGAGGCAAGCCAAAGAGCCGCAATTAAGGCGACTAGGGGCGGACCGCAATTAAGGCAAAAAGTCCAACACTCAATTTTCAGATGAATAAGATTCAGTTTGCCCTCTATTTGTATGCATTAGTAAACTTCATTAAAAATAAAACAATTCTATGCAAAAAAAAAAAAAAAAATCAGATGCAACACCAACATGATAATCACTAAATAAAAAAAGGTTGAGATGGAATAAAATTCAGTCTATAATATGGTATTAAACAGTATAAGATCATTCCACCAATATAAATTTTTATTTATACAAAAAATGCATGTTTAAAAACAAACCTTGATAGAATAAGGGATAATGCATCAAGTATTGTCAGCCAGAGCGAGTCAACCATTGAGAGGCAGAGAACTGTAGTTTTACCAGTCCATTTAACAGGTGGATCATTATCACATCTAGGTGATTCAAGCTGAATTGTAGAGAAAACAGGCCATTAAACAACATAACCAGAAAGAAAAAAAAGTATAAAATGAAGAGAATCTAAATTTACCTCTCCAACATCTATGGCCTCATCTGTTAAAGTTGCAACAGTGAAAACAACTCCTAGGAGTCCTTCAACTGCCAAAGTTATGGCATGTGCTTCACTGGCAACTAAAACTGCAGAATTGGATGCATCATTATCTAAGCTCCATTCAATGCCTACAGAAGGAACACCGTATATTTTGTTATCATAGATCATTTAAATATCTCAATGTCAAATGGTGCTACTAAAACTAAACAAGCCCCAGGCTCAAAAAAATTAAGGCATCAAGAAGATGACATGTAACTTTTATGAGTATTTATTAGTCAGAATTGTGTTATAATAATCAGCCACATCAAATATATCATGCCATACAGATTAATATTTCTTTTAAAGTGAATTGCAAGACCATTCTAATTTAAATTAAGGAACATTTTCTGGTTCGGAAAATATAGTCTGATATATATCAATATTAATTTCTTTCTTGTCCCCCATTTCATTTTGGAGATATTAAAAAATTAAATAGATCGTGATTAGGGGAGATAGATCATAGGTAACCAAAGAGTTCAAACAAACTTATTAACAACAAATAACCTGTAACACGAAGCTTCATAGTGTAAAAAAAAAAAATTTGCAATGGCAACTAAATGGATTAAGTAATTTCCTTTTGAAAATTACTCTCTTCGGCACAAGCAAATCCATAGTTCATACGATGAGAGGCCACCACTGCTATTCAAGCCTCTCATTTAGTCCTTGGAAATTTATCGCTTTAGGTTAATCAATCTTCAAGTTTTTTGTTTTCCTTTAAGTTTTTGTTTTCTTTTAGCTGTGCTTTTCCGTACTTGTTTCGCCTTTCTTCTAAACATTAGTCTCTTACACTGATTTTTATAGCGACTTCATTCATGGAAGTTTAAATGACAGGCAAATTCTGAACCAAAGTCCCTTTCAGGCGTTCTTGAGACCTAGAGTCTATTCATTTACCTTCTTGTTTTAAAAAGGTAAAACAAAATTATCAAGGGAGTAGGAATACTTATCTTCATGATAGAAAATTGAACTCTCCCTCTAAGGTCAAGTCTTATTATTTGGAGTGAGGTACTTTATAATAGAACTAATATTAATGGGTTGTTCCAAGTTCCTAGCCCACGTAAGGCCATTTCCACTGATAGGTGTGCAATGTCATTGAGTTTGCTCAGAATCTGCACTTCATTGGTTATTAGATTGTGCTGCTTCTGTTCCTATATAGCAATCCGTATTTGGTGTTCTCAGTAAATGTTGGAATTTCCGCCTTCATTGCGGTCTGCCCCTAGTCGCCTAAATTTTGGCATTTGGCTTACCTTCATTGCAGCCTCCAACACCTTCATTGTGTTGGGTTTGAAGGGGTGGATTTAGTCCCACATTGCTTAGAGATACGGTCATGTGTTATGTTTATAAAGCTTGGGCAACTCTCCCCTTACAAACCGGTTTTGTAGGGATGAGTTAGGCTCAATCCACATTCTATGAATGTATCAATACCGTATCATCCAATTATAAATATACAAAAAAAAAAAAAAAAAAAAAAAAACGACAACTGAATTACTATAAGACTTCCTACTCAGCTTATATGAACCTCTGGATAAATAAAGGAAGTTAAAACAAATATTTGACTTCGCAAAAGAGACAAGTCTCAACAGTATTGTTCCATCAAAATATGAAAATTAATACCTTTGGCTTTGCTACTAAACATTCCTGCAACAGCTGCCAGGCTCTCCTCAATTGATTCTTGTGCCTACAGAATGCATATAAAAAAAAATTCTAACCGAAAATTTTATCTTAAAATATACAGAGTACAGAAACCCCAAGTCTATGCATGGTATGTAAATGTTGATAGACAAGATGCATAATATAAGCTAAAGTTAGAGAGTAGGCGGTGTTCAAAGCAATCAACCAGAGATATGCAATTCAATTTTCCCTTGTACAATGACCAAAATACATTGAAAAACTAATATATTTGTATGCTTTCAAATCATACCTGTACGTTTGAAACAACCCTAGCAAGAGCTTTGACCATTCCTTCCACAACATTTGTATTCTTAGGGTTCCTGCAATGCCAATGGATAGCAGCAACATTGGATGATAATAACATATTGTGAATCATATCTAAAACCATTTAACTCCAAGTCCTTCTAAATGGTTTGGCCTACGTTTACATCACATAACAAGTATGAAAGGGAAAAAAAAGTAGCTAAGATGTCTAATCTCAACGTGTATCGTAAATGTAAGTTTCTTCAAAACATGTATGGATACACCAAAACAAAACCATGTATATAATCCTATAGCCCATTGGGGGCAATGAGACACCTTTAAAGACCCCAAGTGTTTCAACTAAAGCCACATGCACCAAAGAATTGCATGCATGTTGAAATAAAGACTTCAAGAGTAAATCCACTCCTTCAAACCCAACACAAAAACACAATGAACAATGAAGGTGTTGGAGGCTGGAATGAAGGCAAGCCAGATCTCGCAATTTAAGCGACTAGGAGCGGACCGTAATGAAGGCAAAAATGCCAACACATGCCCTCACTCTCGAGCCTCAATGAGGCAGGCGCGTGGACGACGCGGAAGCCCAACAAGTGATCTAGGATAGGCTCTAATACCGTCTTAGAATGTGTTGGTTGACCCTAATTCATCTCTACAAAACTGGCTTATAAGGTGGATTGCCCCCACTTATAAACACAACACAAACCATATCTCTAAGCAATGTGAGACTAAATTCACTCCTTCAAATCCAACACAATAAAGGTGTTGGATGCTGCAATGAAGGCAACCCACATGCCGCAATTTAGGCGACTAGAGGCGGGCTGCAATGAAGGCGGCAATTCCAACAAATCTAAATCTATAAAACTTCAATAACGGGTCAAAAAGCAATAAGCTAACTTGGAAATTTTCACAAGACATACATAATTGGAAAATTTCACACAACATGCATAATTGGAAAGTTTCACACTACATGCATAATGGTAGGGCAGAACACTGTAATTTTACAGCATATCAAATAGACCAATGCTGTCTAGCATTGTGCACTACATAATTGAGTTTATTACCTACCTACACATATATATTAAACTTACATATCAAAATTTTGGAAAAGAATCCGCAACGTTCGAGCCTCGACACAAAATCCCTACAAACCACCGTTTTTGGATGTTAGATTAATAAAGACTTACAGAGCTAATCAACAACTCTTACAAAAGTAATAATACAACACATCTACATTACCCTCAAAATCTCAAGAACAAGAATGCGATGCCACAATGGCAAATCAAGAAAAGTAGCCTTTAGTAACATACTGAGAAAAACCTGCACATAAAATCAGAAAGAAAAAAAAGCAAAAAAACAGCAAATGTTGATTATGTGAGATACTATTTAGAATATATCTGTTAGGAACCACAGAATTCTAAACTTCAACATTAGAGGAATTGGTAAAACAAACTAAAATGAATAAAGATAAAGCTTGCAAACAATTGAATTTTCTTATTTGTGCAGTGAGATTGAAAGAGAGAATACAAAAGATAGACAGTGAAGAAAATAACCTTGCACTCTGCTTTCACTAGACCTTTCTCTAACCACAATTTCATTAATAAAAGCTATATTTCCCTTCTACCAATTGAAGGCTATTTAAAGACTTTATAAAATTAACCAACATAACAACTTTTAACAACCACCTAACAAACTTATCAACTAACTAACTTCTACTAACTAACCCAACTATTCTAATCATCCAATATTCTATATCCTGACAATGTCAAAGGGGGTTGACAATAGAGGTCAACATAACAAAAGCTCTCTGTCTTAGGCTATTAGTAAAAATTACACCTCAGCTGAGAAATGACTTTATACATTATGAGAAGTCACGGTACATTGCATCGCACAATTGACAACTCCCCCTTCCTCTCACACTCAATCAAAAGAAGATATTTGCATCGACCATTTCTGTAAATAAATTGGTGAGCCATGTGGCTAGATGGGAAAGGATATATAAACTTACCTCACATTCTGTGACGAGGGAAGAACTATAAAGCCTTATAATATGAGCAACTGAGCGCAAGACCAAACGACGAAAGCTAGGCTCACCAGCTTCTCCTTCAAGCTGATTGATATAAAAAGAAGTTATGAACAGTCTCTTTTTTACATCTAAAAACAGGGATAAAGAACCTCAATAGTGATATATAGCCATATTATAATACTACATGGTTCAGGGTACCTCAGCATTAGTACGAAGTGAAGTCATCAGAATTGAACATATCTGCCGTCGTAAAGCCTGCCAAATATATTAAAATAAATAAACAAAAGAAATGCTGGTTCCTGGTATGACTAAAAGTCCAGCAACAAGATTCTGAGTCACAACAAACATATTCACCTGTTCATAGGGTAACAAGGTTCTGAAAACAGACACATAATTGGACAAAATGAACCTGCAAAACACTTTCAGAATATTATCATGAAGATTGAAGAGCAACGCTGAATCTTCCAGAATAATATATTGTTTCGTTGGAAAAATTAAATAGAATTTGCCACACTGGTGAAGCCAATTCAAAAGAATTATGGTGATCCGATTTGTAAAACATATATGTCTGTGGCTTGAAACATGACATAAGTGGAAACACATGAATATATAATGTAAAACAATTAATTAGACTTTCAAAAGCCAAAAGCTAAAGAACACAATCAGCCTCATTCTTTGTTAGACTAATAACATAAGTTGCAGGAGAAAAATGAATATCTGCACGAGGCTTGCAATAAACCATTATGAATGGGAAACTTGGAAAGCAATCCCAGTGCAAAAAGCTCAAAAGTCATTACGGCATAATAAGAAATACTCAACCGATAAACCGATAATTTAACTTTCACCTCTAATGCTTCTAGTCACCAAATTCAAATATTTATTTTAATTTACAATTCAAATTATAGATATATATGAAATTGGATAATTTGACATATCATATCCAGAAAGTAGAAGCAAAATTGAGTATATGGAATGCAATTTTAGCAAAAGGTGTAGCAATTCTAGCTTAGATCATATCATATCGCATGTTACGAAATTTAAATATCTTGGGGCTAAAGTACAAACCGGCGAAGAAATAGAATAAGATGTAAACCGTCAAATTAAAGTTGAGTGGTTGAAGTGGAAAAGGTACTGTTCAAACTGAAGGAAAATTTTCATCGAACAAATATAATACCAGCAATGTTGTATAGGATAGTGCGCTACACAATAAGAAACCAACACGAGAATAGATTAAACGTAGCAGAGATGAGGATGTTGTGTTGGATGTGTAGTAAGACTAGATGATATAGGATTAGAAATAACCAACATTAGGGAGAGAGTTGTGGTAGAACCTATAGTAAAATAAATAGTGGAAACTCGACTTAGGTGGTTTGTACATGTAGAGAGAAAATTTGCATATTCTTTAGTCTGGAGGCTAGATCAGATGAAGGATCGTCAAATTATTAAAGACAAAGGGAGACCTAGAAAAACTACAGAGAAATTATTAAAAAAGATTTTAGAGATTAATGAATTGGATAGAAACATAATACATAATAGAACACTATGACGTCGTTTGATCCAAGTAACCTATCGGATGTAGCTGACTCTGTTTAGTGGAATAAAGTTTGGTAGCAGTTGTTATCTATGAAGCACGGACACCCCAAATACGACACCGACACCGACACGGAAACATCGGTAATAATTTGAAAAATGAATAAATTAAAGGTGTTAAGAGTCCCACATCGGACAATATATGACATGAACATGTGTTTATAAGTGGGGGCAATCCTCACTCTACCAACCGGTTTTGTAGGGTTGAGTTAGGCCCAACCACACTTCTTAACATGGTATCAAGAGCCTCGTTTAAGATTCGGTGGGCCACCTTCTATGGTTTCCGCTATCGGGCCACCCACCATTTATTTCCACGCTTCAGTTGTCCAATCCTGAGCGTGAGGGGGTGTGTTAAGAGTCCCACATCGGACAATATATGACATGAACATGTGTTTATAAGTGGGGGCAATCCTCACTCTACCAACCGGTTTTGTAGGGTTGAGTTAGGCCCAACCACACTTCTTAACAAAAGGTAATTAGAAGTGTCGGTGTAGCTGTTGGTGTCCGACACGGACACGGCCATTTATCAAACATGTCAGTGCTACATAGGTTGTTATATTTCCAAAAAGTAACTAATGCATTACAAATACGATGATCATTTACAAAGATGCTAAGATCATTTAAAAATAATATAATATAGTGTGATAACCCCATGGACTACATGGTCTTTGTTAAATACGAAGAAAAAAAAAATGCCCTCACTATACACACCAGATTGGGAGGTTAGAAAATACATCTTGAGGGGTATTAGGAAGATCCTAAAGTAAGTCCCACATTGGTTGGAGATAGAGCATTGAAATAGTTTATATAGAGTGGCACCCCTCACCTTACCAACCGGTTTTGTAAGGTTGTGTTAGGCCAAACTCTAATATGGTATCAGAGCCTATCGATCGGACCTTGGGCAGCCCACCGTTTAAATCCACGCACCAAGCCCAAAAAGAGTGTTGGGCGTGAGGGGGTGTATTAGGAAGATCCTAAAGTAAGTCCCACATTGGTTGGAGATAGAGCATTGAAATAGTTTATATAGAGTGGCACCCCTCACCTTACCAACCGGTTTTGTAAGGTTGTGTTAGGCCAAACTCTAATAAGGGGTGAAGAGTGAAAATAATTATTTCCATCTAATAGAATGAGATATGAGAGAGAAGAGAGAGAAAGTTGATACTGTTATTATATTGAATTGGAATGGAGCATGATGCTCTATTTATACAAGTGGAGTTGAACATTCAAGAGTTGAATCATTCAAACTCTACATTTAAAGATGATTTTTCTTATTCTATTAAATTAAGGTTGACCTTAATTATTCTATAGTGCTGATTTTTCATATCCGAAGATATAACTTTAATACTTCCCCACAAGCTCAAGGTGGCTGCAAAGGCTGACTTGAGCAGACAGGTTGAGCTTGCTGCTGAGCTCCATAAATCTTGAACTTGAGAGAGGCTTGGTGAGGATGTCAGCCTTTTGGTCAGCACCAGGAATGTGGCAGACATTGAGAGACTTATTAAGGACCTTTTCTCTTACAAAAAAGAGGTCAATTTCCATATGCTTTGTTCTTACATGAAGAACAGGGTTATGAGCCATAGCAACTGTGCTCTGGTTGTCACAATAGATGGTTAGAGTTGTCAAGGGAATATTTTCAGCTAGCAAAGTTTGAACCCATAAAACTTCAGCTGTGCTGTGAGCCAAGCTGCGATACTCTGCCTCAGCACTAGAACGAGCAACAACAGTTTGCTTTTTGGACCACCAAGAGATCAAATTAGGGCCTAAGTACACCGCTGACCCAGAGGTGGATCTTCTATCATCTGGGTCAACAGCCCAGTCAGCATCACAGTAGGCCTGCAGCGAGAACGGAACAGTGGAGGCAGGAGTGAACAATAAACCAGAGGTGATAGTGCCTTTTAGGTAACGCAAAATACGCTTGACAGCTAGCCAATGGGACTCCAAGGGGTGTGCCATGAACTGACATACTTTGTTAACAGCATAGCAGATTTCTGGGCGTGTAATTGTTGCATATTGCAGGGCCCCTACAATGGACCTGTAGTGAGAGGCATCGGACAAGGCAGCAGACCCAGTTTTGATGAGTTTGGTGGTTGATGCCATAGGAGTAGCAACTGGATTGGAATTCTCCATATCAGTTTTGATTAGCAAGTCCCTTAGGTACTTAGATTGAGTGAGAAGGAGATTACCATTGGACAGTTTCTTCACCTCAAGGCCCAGAAAATAATCCAAGTCACCAAGTTGTTTGAGAGCAAACACATGATTTAGTTGTTGAGTAATTTGCTTGATGAGAGGAGGAGAGTTTCCTGTGATGATTATATCATCAACATAAACCAGCATATAAATGACAGCACTGTGATGCTTGTAGATGAACAGTGAAGTATATCACACTTGCTGTTCAGAAAGCCAAAGGATAAGAAGTATATCACACTTGCTGTTCAGAAAGCCAAAGGATAAAAGAGTGGTTTTGAGTCTTTCAAACCATTGCCTTGGGGCCTGTTTGAGGCCATACAAGGCCTTGTGCAAGAGACATCCCAGAGATGAATTAGGGGCAGTAAATCCAGGGGGTTGCATCATATAGACCTCCTTTTCAAGAATGCCATTCAAAAAGGCATTGTTTATATCCAACTGCTGCAGAGGCCAATTGTAAGTGAGAGCAAGAGTCAAAATAATTCTAATTGTGACCGGTTTAATAACACCAGATTTAGTTCTAGTAGTCATAGGATGAGTATTGGTGGGGAGAGGTTGAATGTTAGTATCCCTAGGAGCAGAAATAGAGGAGGAGGATGGTGAAGTGGTAGTAGTAGGCTGATTGTTGGCATTTGAAGAGGGTGAAGAAGTAGGATTAGTGCTGGCTATTTGTGTTACAGGGGTGGCTGACATAGAGGCAGTAGGTGTGTGGCTGGAATTGGATTGAGAAGGAAGAAGAGGAGTGTAAGGTAGTGGAAGCAGTAGAAACGGGAAAAACATTAGGGAGAGCTTGTGTGTTAAGGGTTACTTTAGATGAGGAGGAGGATGGAATGGTTGATGAGGGGAGAGAAACATTAGGAAAAAAAAGATCATTGTAAGGAAATTTGGACTCATTGAAAAGAACATCTTTAGAGATGAAGATTCTACCACTTGGAGAGAGACATTTGTAACCTTTGTGAGCTGTAGAATACCCTAGAAAAAGGCACTCATGGAATCTAAAGTCAAATTTCTGAGAGTTGTATGGGCGAAGGAGAGGAAAACAAGCAAACCCAAAAACTTTGAGGAATTTATAGTCAGGATTTTGATTGAAAAGGACAGCATATGCTATATGTTGATTGAGAGACATGGTTGGTAACCTATTTATTAGGTAGACAGCAGTTAAAAAGGCATGATCCCAAAATTTGAGAGGTAAAGAGGCATGACTCAAGAAGGTTAAACCAAGATCAACAATGTGTCTATGCTTCCTCTCCACTACACCATTTTGGTGATGAGTGTGAGGGCAAATTAGACGATGAATAATGCCAAGATCAGAAAGAAACTTTGTAAATGGGCGAAATTCACCACCCCAATCAGTTTGGTCAGATTAAATAGGAAATCCAAATTGTAATTCAGCCATGACTTTGAATTGTTTAAAGATAGTTAAGGCTTCAAATTTATTTTTGAGCAAATAGATCTAAGTAAATCTAGTGTATGCATCAACAAAGGTGATGTAGTAGGTAAAGTTTTGGGAGGGTTTGACTGGGGCAGGACCCCATAGGTCACTGAAAATTAATTCAAGAGGAGAGTGATATTGAGTTTGTGACTGAGGGGAGTGCAGCCTATGTGCCTTTCCCATACAGCAGGCAGAACAAAAGACAGATTCAGCTTTATTAGAATAAGGAATATTACATTGAGCTAAAACAAGTCTCATAGTATTAGAATTTGGATGACCAAGGCGTAAATGCCAAGTATGTTGAGAATTATATGAGTTATTAGCTGATACATTTTGATTAGAAACTGAAACCCTATCATTAGTGCTGGAATCAGATCTTGAAACAGGAGCATTAGAGTTTAAGGTGAGACATGAGACTTGATTTGTTGAAGGAGACTTAAGAAGCTGGAGATGGGAAAATTGGTACAGGCCATCACTTCCTACACGACCTTGGAGCAGAATTTCATTGGTAGCCTGAGATTTGACATAGCACATATCAGCATGAAACTCAAAGAAAACTCTATTATCAAGACAGAATTTGCTAACACTTATCAAGTTCTTTGTAATAGAAGGAACAAGCAGTAAATTATGAAGAGCTAATGGAGTGTTGGGTTTAGAATGAGAGGGAAAATAAGAAGACCCTGAAGAGTGAATGTGCAAACCTTGACCATTACCAATGAAGAACTGATCAGGACCTTCAAAAGGTGCGGTCTGTTGTATGTTTTGAGAGGCATTGGGAACATGATAAGAAGCTCCTGAGTCTGGGAACCAGGCACTGCTTGGAACTGAAGTTGTGTTAGCAATCATAGCATTGGGAGTGATCTGTGATTAAGGAACAGGGAGAGGAGCAAGTCTTGGTTGATAGCTTGGGCGTGACCACGTGTTAACCATGGGCTGAGCAAACTGAGGTCCACCAATTGGTTGATACAAATTGTAGAAATTTTGTAGGTTCATTGTTTGAAAATCAGCAGGTATGTTAGGTTGAAACTGTTGATTGAACCTGTGATAGCAGTTAGCAACAAGGTGACCATATTTGAAGCAAACTTGACATTGAATGTTGTTGAACCTACCTTTCCCATGGCCGCGTCCACCACCACGGCCAAATGCACGAGCTCCTCTTGAATTGATTGGATTAAAGATTGAATGCACAGCTTTATCAGTGTTCTTGTTATTGGAGTTATCAGTTTCAGGTTGAGAATTGGCTTGAGTGAGATTCACTGAGGCAGCCGCCTCCATTTGAGAGTGTTTCTTATACTTATTGAATCTCATCTCATGAGCAAGAAGAAGAGCTTCAACTTCTTCAAGTTCTACTGAATCAAACTTGCTTTCAATGACTGAAATAACAGAGGCAAAGTCTTGAGGAAGACCTTCAATAATTACATCAACGTGTTGTTGATCTGGAACTGGATCTCCAACTGAAGCAAGTGCATCAACAAGAACTTTGATGCGAACCAGATAATCACCAACAGATTTGTCTTCAAGTGTTGTAGATTTGAGTTCCGCACGTAGTTGTCTTGCTTTCGCACGTGTAAGCTTTTGAAAATGCGCAAGAATACGTTCCCAGAGCTCGTAGGAATGAACGCATCCAAAAACGCGTGAAAGAATCGAAGGTGAAAGCGTGGATTGAAGCCACGTCATAAGCCACTGATCTTGCGTAATCCAGGTGCGATACGCAGGGTTCTCACGAGCAGCTGTACGATCTTCATCAGTTAGGTATTGATTCGGTATGTCACGAAGGTAAAGGTAGTTTTGAAGATTATTCGCGTTAAAGAAAGGATCTACTTGTTGGCACCAAAGTAGGAAATTCTTCTCATCAAGTTTTTTTGTGATTTTGAGTTGGAACGACATAGATGCTGCGGTGGCCGGAGTCGCTGCCATGGATAGAACCGAAGCTCTATGATACCATAATAGAATGAGATATGAGAGAGAAGAGAGAGAAAGCTGATACTGTTATTATATTGAATTGGAATGGAGCATGATGCTCTATTTATACAAGTGGAGTTGAACATTCAAGAGTTGAATCATTCAAGCTGTACATTTAAGGATGACTTTTCTTATTCTACTAAATTAAGGCTGACCTTAATTATTCTATAGTGCTGATTTTTCATATCATAAGATATAACTCTAATACCATCTTTAAACACATTTTATTTCCTGTTTTGCTTTTAGTGAAAAGAAAAACAAGAACTTCCATTTTTTCAACTAAAGAAGAAAGAAAGACATGATAAACAAAATAAACCCTACTACTTCGAACATTTCTTGAGATTAAAAGAAATACTATTAATGATCATGGATTCATGGTTCACTCAGGTGTCAATTCATGGTTCACTCAGGTGTCAATTCATGGTTCACACAGGTGTCACTTAAGCATAAAAAAAAAAATTTAATTAAAAAAATTATAAAAAAAAAAGATAGTTGATCCGAGGTATCTCAGCCAAAAAATCTGGTTAAAAAGTAGCTGCAAAATCGCATAAAGCAAAACTCCAAAAGATTTCTTACTCAAGAATATCAAGTGCAAATGTCCTCTGAATAATGTTTACGCGCAGCCAAATTGCCTGTAGAAGAAAAGACAGGAAGTTAATGTCATCCAGTAAGAAATGGCATTTAACTACATATCAACATCACTAACGGATTCTAACCACACACAAGAAATTCAAACAAAATGGATATCATGCTAGGGGGAATAAAAAAGTTCCAAATAAGCACATACAGATCCACCTGCAGCAAGAGATGTCAGGTCTTCAAGCAAGCGCAGCCCAAGTTTTCCAGTTTCGGTCAATGTTTCCCTCACCACAGGAGGCCCTCGACATGTAGATTCATGATCTAATGAGCTGCATGATTATTAACGATATAACTTAAAACCGTTACATAGTCTACATGAGAAAACACTAATAAACAAGTCTTAATTTACAGCCCTTCTAAAAGTAAAAAGGATATTCGTAGTATAGCTAATTCATGATTTTAGTCCCCCATTCCTATTTCCGAAAATATAGTCCACCAATTTTTAAAATTTCAGAAATTTTTCCCACCGCTGAATAAAAAGCCTTTTTTGTTGATGAGTCAAATTGAATAATGAGCTTGCAAGTCGTAGAATTGCATGACATCGCATATTTAGATTAAATCTTATTATTTTATTTTTCATATCATTAAAGTATTATTTAAAAAAATATATAACTTCAAATTTAAACAATGGCAAGTTTATCCCCTAAGTGATGGATCAAATTACGCCATAACGTTTCTATCAAAGATCATATATATTACACTTAGTTTATTCTTGTGTTGGTTCTTTACAACCCACCATTTTGTCTCATACAACATTGATGGTCTTACAGTTTTCTAATAAGTACAACTTCGTTCTGATCTCTCATTTAAAATCCTACTTCGACTCTTCAAGAATGACTATATCATCTGCAAAAAACATACATCTCGGTGCTACCTATTGGATGTGTTTCGTAAGTACATACAAAACTAAAGTAAAAAGGTAAGGGCTTAGAGTTGAACATTGGATGCAAAAATTATTTGTCTCTCCACCTTGTGTCTTCACACTAACCGAGACACCCTCAATCTTAGCCTATTTCTTCTCTAGGGCTTCCAAAAAGCACTCTATCATTCGTTTTCTCTAAATAATTGAAAACTAAGTGCTAGTCTTATCGATGCATCTAATAAAGCTCTCCACCAAGATTCTTTACTTCTAAGTTCAAAACCTCTTTATTTTCCTATTGTCTATATTACTATTTTTCTAATCTCTTGTGTCATCCCATTTGCACTTCCTTCCTTATAACTGCTCTAATAATATCAAATTTCCCATAAAATATGCATTGTCATGTTATGCATTAACTTGTGAGTTCATTATTCAACATGAAATATTAGCAAAAATAAGTTCAAATTTTGGGTGTGAGGAAAAAAATTTGAAATTTTAATAATTGGGGGACTATATCTAGGATTTAGAAATGAGATACCAAAATCATGAATAGAAGAAGATAAGGGGACGAAAAAGGAAATTAAATATAATAAAAAATAAGTTACACCCACTTTAAACTGCAAAATATAATCAAAGAAGAATCTAATACATATACATTGATAGTAAAAAAAAGTTAGTGCATTGGCAATCAATCATAACCGTCAAATCATTAAAATTGATTGTTATGTACATACAGTTGTGTAAAAAAATTTACACTAATAACGCATGAAAATCAAACTCATAAAAGAATAGTGATATACAATTGTATTCACAAAAGGGAATGCATACTCAGATATATTGATGCTTCGATTAACATCTCCAGTAATTGAATAAGTCCGAGAGAGCTGGCCTCCATAACCAAATTTTCCAGCAGGAAGAGACTCAGCCAAAACCACTCGGTCAAAAACCAACGCCACTGCTTGCCTGAAGGTAGCTGCAGCAGTACTGCAAAACAATTGCATAGAAACACATATAGGATTCGAAAGCTAGCTGATTGTAACATGAATATATATATATATATATATATATATATATATATATATATATATATATATATATATATATATATATATATATATATATATATATATATATATATATATTTATATATATATATATATATATATATATATATATATATATATATATATATATATATATATATATATATATATATAAGACATGAACAAATGACACCAGTCATTTTGTGTCAAACTTAGAGACTTACACCAATTTTAATAAGTTCGTGTAGGAGACGAAATTTACCAAACAGACCTTTGAATTCAAAATCATTATAAAGTAGGTCAAGTTTATAAAATTTCATGGAAATAAAAAATTATTTGACACTTCATCGTAGTATATATTTTGACAGACAATACATTACTTAATAGATAAGTAAATGTTCCTTGTTAGATAGCACACTTCCAAATATCCACATTATTTAAACTTTTATTAACATTATCGCAGAGAGATAATATCACATAATACAACAGTAAGATTAGTAAATTTCATTTTCTACAGGAGGTATTTAATAAGTGTAAACTCCAAGTTTGACACTTGATGACAATGGTGTATTTCATCCGGTCTCTATAAGAGGGCTTTTATATGAATTGAAGGAATAGATAGTGGTCACATATACATGGATGGTCGAGATTGGAAGTTATTTAAAGGTCACGTGTCTACTTAAAAAATCACAATTTATGTTTACTATTTATAGAACAATCTAAGGACCGTGATTTACTTTCTTTGTCACTTAAAAATGATTATGTGTGTGCTTACTTTCGCACACTGTCAGAAGAACGGCTGTTTTCAAGAAGCCTGAGACAGATACCAAGAGCTTGAGACATAGTATCCTGAAATTACCAAGAAACGGTGATAAAAAGTCAGACACATACATAAAGAAGAATCGAGTCTGTCTTATTTCATATGAAAACAATGAAATTGAACTAAAACTGGACTGCATAATATTAAAAATCTAGCCATCAGTATCACTTTTATCAGTAGTTTCATTAATCACATAATGATTTGGCTGGATGTTTTACATGGTTTGTCCAAACCATCGATGCCCCAAATGCCCAAATGCCACAAATGTAAAAAAACTTAACCTTCAAATTTAATCCAAAAAAATTTATATTGTTACGGCACAGATTTGCTCATTCCACTCAAAGAAGCATACAAGTCTGCATCAAAAGTAATGAATTGCCATTCAATATAATGCTGATATTTTATTAGATTAGGTGCAGGGTATGGGCAGCCGGTAGGATTAAGATAAATACTAAATAGTTCAGATTGAATACGGCCAACTAGCAAGTTGAGATAGAAATACATGAAAATCTTAATAATATTATAGCTTATCCGGGCTTACAAGCTGGTGCAATGGATTTGCCTGATAATTTACAAGCCAAATATCTTTGCTTCGTGAGTTTCAAGAACTTCTCTTCATAGAGGAATTGAGATAGATGCTAAAGAATCAAATTAAAGAGATGCTAATTCTAGGTTTCCTCACAGGGAAGTAAAGACATACTTTTAAACAAATTGGAAGTGGGAAGCAACAGAGTTGATAGAGTAATGGATAATCTAAGTGATCAATTAATTTTATGCCCAACATACTTTTGATGATTTTACTTTTTGTACTTTTCTTTTTAAAAAATTATTAATTGACTTAATAATTAATAATTATTTACATAATGTTTAATAAAAATCTTCCAATATTGAACTGGTAGACATGGAGATTAGAAAATGTTTTAAATAGGATAAAATAAAAAGATAATGCAAATGAATGAACTATAATGTATATCCACCATTTTTATAACAATGTTAGTTTGCTTTATGGTTAGCCTTAGTGTGTTTTTTAACTTCAATTTGAAACACACTTGGTGAATTTATTGCCCAGAAGATGTCTCTAAAGTGTTATCTCATGAATATTACGTTTCACATCCACCATCTTATTTTATAGCATTTTTATATAGTTTATATTTATGGTGAATGTATGACTCCCTGCAACCCACATTCATAATCACTGTTATATACAATAAAAGCTTCCAAAAACTAGCCCTTATATTCAAAAAAGTGTAGAATAAGACCTGGCCGTTGTTGTTATAGTCAAATTTAAAAATGATATGTATTATTTAGATTATTACATAACTATATTGTGTATTGACTTGTCCAATAATTCTAATGCGACCTATAGCTAAGCAGCTTTAATCTTTAATTCATCCATCCCGGCATATCCCCAATAGAGTTAAATCTAAGAAAAGGTTCAATAGCTCTAACAAGTAAACTGTCCAATCAGAATGTCTTAACTATATCAACAACCCATATATCACAATACATGGTCTTTATTAAGATTCATTACTATTGCTTTGAACAATATCTATCGACAATCAGCCTATCCACTAATTTCCAGGTCCAGCTAAGATATAATACAGTTTACAAATGGCAAGTAGTAGCACATAGTTCATATTGCTGTATCTGACCTCATTTTCAGGGTGTAAACGTGACTGAAAAATTATTGATATTGTTTGAAGAGTCTTTAGCTGAACACCCTCGTCCCCCATTTCAGCATGCTGCAGGGATTAGGCAGCAGGTTATCAATACATGCGTAAGCCTCTTACTTGAATAAACTTAAACATTACATAAGTTCTGAAACCATAGTACAATCTAACTAGGTTTAAGCTTACGTCTTTCAATGTAGATAAAATCTCCCTCAGAGCAGATGGAGAAACGGCATCATGAGAAATCAGTTTCTGCAGACACGAGAGTCCAATAATGCTAAGCTTGATTGTTCGAACCTCACACGCCATCAAAAAGATTCGTAATATGTCATCATTATGTGCAATTTCACTAGGACTTGATAATGTACGAAGCTGCAAGTCAGACCACGTAAAGATTTCAAAATTGCCATTTTTTATCTAGAGCAAAAATTGGACAAAAGTGTTACCGAAAACTGCTTTTTAATATTATTACATCTAATATAATAAATACAGAACGTTGCAATGAATTTTCCGTCACTGAAGCTTTCCTAAATATTGATCCAAGCATCATTCAACAATTGGCAATAAAATGTTTAACTCGTTTTCCAAGCAACCAAATGTCTACCATTGACATTACTTTAAACTAAAATCTACAATTCAAACTATGCTCATGAATTTCAATAATTGTGATAATCTACCAGCTAAGAAGTTGAAATTGAAATCCATAGAGAGCTAAGAAGTTGAAATTAAAATCTGCACTGAATAGTAACCTTGAGGATTGCGTGCTCTGCGCCGTCTTTAACAGCGGGATAACGACGGCGAGCTTCGGCGGAGAGAGCACGGAGGTCGGATTCCAAGACCGCCATGAAAGCCATCTCGGAAGAGCGTCGATGGAGTGAGGACTCTTGTCAGGGTGATCGATGGTTAGGAACTTTCACCACTCGGGAAGAGGAACGTGGTGCTGGTAGATCTTGAGTCTGCGAGAAAGGCACAGATCCGAATGCAGTAACTCACACGTGTGGGAACTTGGGTCGATGTAAGAGTTCAAGATTTGGGCCTAAGCAACTATTAAAGCCTACTAAATGGTTCCGTTCTACACATTTTACAATTTCTTCATACGAACCCCTTCTCTAATTTTAAGTTTTTTATGTGTCTAAAAATAAATCAATTATCTAACCACTAAAATAAAATACTATCATTAGTCTTTAATTATCCTTTTGACTCAAAACTATTTAGTTTGACAAAAAAAAATACATATGACATTGCATAATCAACCAATTTTCTCCCTTATTTTTTAATCCCAAAACGTCACGTGTACGTCCATTTTTCATTCTTCTCGAAAGATGACATCCAATATTACTTTTTACACTTCTCAAACTCTCTCTACTTCTAAAGCATCATCACCAACGATACTCTCTCTCTCTCTGATCCATTTTTCTTCTTCACTAAGTGAGCAAACCTTTCTTCTTGTAATTGAATGATGTTACTTCATCCTTGATCTTACTTTCTTCGTCGTCTTTCTTGAAAATGGGTGAGTATTGTATATCTCTACAACTAATCAACTTTTGTTTCATCGTAATTTTCAGGTTTTCCACTCGTTGTTGTCTCAATTGAAAAGGTATTTGCTTCATTTTCATCTCATATGTGTTCTATGACTTTTCTCAACAACCACAAAGTTGCGTATTTTCGAACTTGTCTTTGCTTTCACAATTTACATGAATAGATTTGAAAGATTTTCCTTTGCTTGTGGTTTAAAAATGAGTTAAATAATGCGTTCTAACTCAGTTTCTTATTTTACCTTTTTTTGAATCCATTAAGTTTCATATGTTTTGACAATGTGAGTTACCTTTTCCATTGTTTTTCCATTTGCGCATGATTCATAAAAACATGACAATGTGTGTTACGTTTTGTGACTTTACTCTGCCTGTGGTTTGAAATTGAGATAAAAAATGTTTAATGACTGGCTGTCTTTTTCATTTTACCTCACTTTAAAGCCACCAAGTTTAATTTGTTTTGACAATGTGAGTTACCTTTTCTAAAAATTTTATGTTTTTGCATGATTCATAAAAAACTTGACAATGTGTGTTATGTTTTGTGACTTTTGACTCTGCTTGTGGTTTGAAACTGAGATAAAAATGCTTAGTGGTTGTCTTTCCCTTTTTACCTCATTTTGAAGCCACAAAGTTTAATTTGTTTTGACAATGTGAGTTACATTTTCCAAGTTTTTTTGTGTTTTTGCTTGATTCATAAAAAAATTGACAATGTGTGTTATGTTTTGTGACTTTTGTCTATGTTTGTGGTTTGAAAACTAGATAAAAACATAGTCCAAGTCCCCTTTGATAGGGATTAAGTACAAGGTCTAAAACTCCACGATGTTAGGGATAATAACCATAGTCCAAGCTTAATGTCTTTTAAGATTTAATTCATTTTATCATGTTTTTGTATTTTTTAAGATGAATAATAAAGAAGAAGAAGGAAGAAGATAGAATAAAATAAGTGCATGAATGATAAATGGGCAGAAAGTAAATAGCGGAAAGTAAATGATGAGAAATAAATTGTGGAAATGTAAAGGCAAGAAGGTAAATATTAGATGTTAGGAGTTAATTGTCAGTAGTTAACAATCGAATGATCGATTTATCAAGTCAAGACCAATTTAGCGTTATGTTAAGCAATCGTAAGTGGACTTATGTAGAAGTCGCAACTATCTGAGGTCGCTCAATAACAATGTTTATGTTAAATCATTCTCCTAAAGTTATGCCACACAAAAAGAAAAGAAGAAGTGGTCTCGTCTTTAATCAAGAACTTCCATTATTAATCAAAGGCAACTTATCATTATCTCAAAATGTAGATAATGATCATTCATCAACATGTTTGAAATAATGAAGTTCAACATCTATGAAAATCAACATTCAATGATATTAAGTTCTTCATCAACCCAAAAAGAAAGAATCGAGATGAAATGAAAAAACAAAATATAAATGGAAATAATGAATCAAGCAAAACATACAATAAAAATCAAGATTGTTCCGACCTCCGAGCACAAGGTCCCCCGTGGACTGGTAATGCCTCCCTGCGGGCAGGACCTGCCCATCTATATCGAGCGTAAGGCTCCCATCACCAGACACTGCCCTCTCTGCGGGCAGAACGTGCCCTTCCGCGGGCAGGACAATGTGTCTTTCACACGTTCTCCATGTGCTCCCCTCCGCGGGGGACACGTCACCGACCAACCGCCCCACCTCCGAAAAAGCCAGTCAAACCCACTTTTCGGAGATCATGGGACAGTTGGATTAGGGCGAAGACCACGTCCTGGTCTTCACTACGCCACGTAAGCCCTAGCAGTCACTTGGGTTGGGCCTAGCAATCCAGCCCAACGCAAGTGCCCGTTGGCCCAGCGTTGGGGTCTCTCTATAAATACCCTCTTTCACAAAAGGGTCAAGTAAATTCAATTCTTGCCCACTTTATGTATTTGCCCTCACTCTGCCTAATCTCTTACTTTGGCATCGGAGTATCTTGCAGGTACACCCCCTACCTTTTTCTCAACACCGTTGCATAGGCAGCAGTCCAGCAGAGTGTGGCCATCCAGAGATCCCCTTCTGATCAGGTCAGATCAGTGGCGCCGTCTGTGGGAAACTAAAACTTCCCCGTTCCTCCGAGCAGCGAACCAAAGTTTTCACCAACATTCCGCGATCATGGCTAGCTCACACCATGACGATGTCGTTCACGACTTCATCCTCACCACTGTCGCGAACGGCGGCAAGCAAATAGAGACGTCTCATCCCCCGGAGACCAACGAGAGAGACGGTCAGACTGCCTCCCCTTCGTCTGCGGAGGCTGCACACCAGACCGTCCTCCGACCAAGGAGCCCAGCAGCGTTTCAGCCCATTCTTGTCCCGACCGGAGTGGACCTGATTGTGGTTGCCCTCTTCGCGACCATCAACCAAATGAACCAGCTGTTATTTCAACAGAACGCACGAATTGGCGCACTAGAGCACGAGCTCCCGACTAGGTCCCCTCCGCGGGAAGACCGGAACGGGAACTCGAGAAGTCCCTCACCTCGCCCCAGGGACCGACGACCTCAGCTTGAGAGGCCCCAACCCGAGATAGTGCGGGAGCGGACTAGATCTCCAGCGAGACAAGTTCGGGAGAGACGGCAGGCCATAGTGGATCCCCCGACCAGACCTCCGCGGGTCGATCCCCCGGTCAGAAGGTCGAGGGCACGAAATCAGGCGCCTCCGCCGAATGGCCCGTCACCCCCTCGGTCACCGGCCCTTAGTGATGAAGACGACTACAGGACCCCTTTGTCCCGAGAGATAATGGTTGCCCTCATTCCTCACGGGATGGAGAAACCCTCGACACTCTCGACGTACAACGGCACCTCCGACCCAGACGACCACCGGAACGTCCGCGGAGCTATCAAATGCAGATTATTCCCAACGACGCTGAGGAAAGATGCCATGACATGGTACAAGAGCCTAGAGCCAGAGTCGATCACGTCATGGAGAGTCTTGAAAGACCTCTTTTCGAGACACTTCACGGCTTCCCGACAACACCCGAAGACGGAAGCCGCGCTGGGCGCCATAATCCAAGCTCCCGACGAGCCCCTCCGGAAGTACATCGAAAGATTCACACGGGAGGCAGTACAAGTAACGACGTCAGACGAGATGAAGCGCTACTTGATGGAGCAAGCCTTGCACCGAGACTCTAAGTTCTACAAAGTCGTGGCCATACACCGGCCAGCCTCCCTACAGGACTTCCTCGACAGAGCCGCACATTATATCTGGTTCGAGGAAACTCAAGCGGCCAACTCCGCCCGGGATACACGAGACAGAGAGACCCCCCGCAGGCCTCGAGAGGACGGTGCCTCAAGCCACAGGCACAGAGGTGATCGCCAACGGAAGGATCGTCCCCGCGAACAACGCGAGCTGCACGGTCCAGTCGGCCGGTTCACAGAGTATACGGCCCTAGTCGCTTCCCGCGAGCGCATACTGGTCGAATGCGCCAAGACGAAGTTTGTCCAGGGAGGTGTCCGCTTCCCCAGGCCGACACCCCCCAAGCCCAACGTGGACAAATCTAAGTACTTTCGATTCCATAGGAGCCACGGGCACGTGACAGAAGACTGCATCCACCTCAAGGACGCATCGAAATCCTGATCAAAGATGGCCCCCTAAAGAGATACACCCGGGGAGGTAAAACCTCGAAGCAAGACGCCCCCGAGGCCAAGAGGGTCGAGGACCTCCCCTCTTCAGACGGTGACAACGGCCTCCAGGTCGCCCTTTACGTCAGCCGCCCTGAGGATTGGTTCGCACACAGAGAATTCAGCCTCCCCGACAAACCCGATCTTCCCGATGAACCGGTGCGTCCCACCAGTCAATGGGAATATTTCCCGAGGGCCATGGTCATCTCCGGAGGATCCCCGAGGAACCTATCCGTAGGATCGGTAAAGAGAAAGTTCGAGGAACTCATCACCAGCAACTCTGGCAAAATGAGCACCCTCGACAAATTTCGCGGCCGATCCAACCCGATCACCTTCTACCTCGAGGAGCTTCTTGGGGGCTCCCCCAACTCTAACATCCCCCTACTGATACGGGCACGGATGGCGAACTTTGATGTCAGATGCATCCTGATCGACGGAGGAAGCTCGGTGGACATCATGTACACCCACCTTTTCACGACCCTCAAACTCGACGAATCCAACTTGTCCCCCTACGTGGGCTCTGACCTCCAAGGGTTCAACGGGACAACAACGAGAATGTGGGGGATACGTGGAGTTAAAAGTCACATTCGGGGAGAAGGAAATGTCCATGGAGATCAACATCCGCTTCCTATTCATCGAGTGTTCATCCCTCTACAACTGTATCCTAGGCAGGACGACGAT